GTACTTACAGTACGACAACTGTTTTTACTAAATATAGTTCTCAGGCAACATGCCTTGCTTACCTTTGACGCGAGTAGCACAATTCTTTCTTCTCGGCGAAAATATGCAGTATGTCGTACACAGAGGACACGTACGAAATTCAGTCACAGGTTTTTTAAATTTTTAGGACCCTATTTATACAATCAAATTAATAAACTGTTGAATATTTACCCATTACCCAGGTTAGTATGTAAAGAAGTTATCTATAGGTGGCTTCAAGCAATGTCTTATGAAGAAACCGAAAATTTTATAAATATACTAACTTGAATAATTCAAACAGATACATACACGTATCCTACAAATGCTAAATAAATCCGCACTTAAACACATATACACAAACACACACACACACACACACACACACACACACACACACACACACACACACACATACACATACACCCACACATCATTTTCATACATCACATATTAATTCAAATATTATACTCATAGATGCCTTGCTTTTAAAATGACCTACTGATCTTTTCATTTATGAGATATTTATTTAGTCTAGTTTAGTATTCTCATGTCTGTGGGGGTTTATGGCGCTGAATGCTGAAATACAGGCATTGCCTAGTTCAGCAGCAGAGGCTAATAAATTATAATTTCTGTAACTAGTGCTAAGTTCGTTACGTAATCTTACTGTACTGATTTTTTGGTCAATAAATCTTATTATTATTATTATTATTATTATTATTATTTTACTAAAAATTAATATTGTTAGCAAAAATTTTCAAAAATCGGACGTAATTATTTCAGAAGCTACCAAAATAATTAATCTGGTTAAAAAAGATTTGGAGAAATACCGCACCGATAACGCGTTTGTACAGTTGTTATCTGATGCAAAATTAATTGCTGAAGAATTAAAATGCGAAACAGAATTTAAAGAAACTGCTCATCCACGTCCCCGAAAAAGACATTTTAATTACCAGATGAGCCCATTTTAGACCCAACCAACAAAATTTAAAGTATGTTTTTATTTTTTCTCTACTGGACACTGCTATCTCGAAATTAAATGAGAGATTCGATTTGCTGACAGAACACAATTCAGTTTTTTCACTCTTCCAAAACATTGAATGCTGGAATAAATTAGAGATGCATGAAAAAAATCTCAGTATTATCGGCTTTAAGAAAAGAATAATTGATAATTTGTAAGGATTACAAAAACAACCAGTACATAGGTACTCAAAGTTATTTGGAAAGCAAATTATATTTAAACTCAAGTAATTGGTTTGCATTAGATATCTCAAAGTAACAGAAAAATAAGTAAAAAATAAAAAATAATTATATGTACCGTGCGCTGCGGAGCCCCGCACGCCGCCGCCGACTGCCCCCGCCCGCGAACGCAACCCGCAACGTGCGTCAACTGCAAGGGCCCGCATCCTGCCAACCACAGCTCGTGCCCTGTGATTCATCGCGAGGCGCGAAATAAGAGAGCATCCACAGTGGCCCAGAGAAGCGAGGTGAGCGAAACGCGCCGGCCACCCTAATGGCCCCCGCGAATCCCGCACCTACACATCAGAAGCCGAAACCCAGCCGCCGCCGCAAAAAACGCCAAAGTCGCCGTGACGTCACCGAAGCGAACACGGACAATACGACCGCCGCCGCACTACCACCCGTCGCAGCCATAACACCCCAAGGACACACCCCATCACCGGCCTCGTTAGACGCAATCCGACAGCTGTTGTCCCTTGCCCAGCAGATGAAGGATTTTCTGGAGAAACACGGGTAGCCGTGTTTCAAAACTACCCCCATACAGATGGTGCTCCCTCCTCACGCCAAAGTCCGTCGCCCGCTTGCTGGTCACACCCGGTGGGCTTGACCGCGAATAATTTGAGTTGCCATTTTGTTTCTCTCTGATTTATCGCAATAAAAAGAAAGAGACAAGGAGTTCCGAGACGACCCACTGGCATTGATAACTGATGTGATAACTTAAAAGAATACAGCAATAGTGAATTTGAATCAGTAGTTTATTGCATTTATTAAAATGATTCGAATAATCATCAAAATGTATTATATTAATTGTAATTACCAACCCAGACGACCATACTTTGGGTCTACCACAATGCGCATATAAAATAGCATAAGTCTACCAACTAGTAAACCTCAAACACAGACCCGAGACAATGGTGTCGATTCTGCCGTGATTCTCTAAACTTAAAACTAAATTTAACATCAGTCTCTCCTTTTCATTCTGTATAGAGGATGACAGGGATGCATTGTTGTCAAATTTAAGTTTAGCTTTAGAGAATCACGCCAGAATCCACATCAATGTTAAACAGTTATTTTTCTGGATAAATGAGACAGAGTAGCGAACCTGAGAACCCAGATATGGCGACACCATGAGAATCGATGTGGAAGCCACTCCGCCAGGGTGATAGTCAAATTGAAATAACCTCAAAATTCCATATTTGTACTATCGAAGTATTTTTTTGCGCAAAGTTCTTTAGAATTTTAATGTTCTGGAAATGTTTAGTTATTAACAACACACAATAAAACTATTTTCATTGCTGTCCGTGAACATTTTATATTAAGCCAAAGTTACTATGGACACTTGGCATTGTTCTTTAATGGTTTTTGGATACTCCTTTTTGTTACTTTTCTAATGATACACAATACTATTCTCTAAAAAAGGTTTATGAATATTTGAAGAAGATTTTTAAAAGTTCAATTTTTCGACTCCGTGTGTTATACGCCAGTAAATAGATGAATAATTAAATATTTTAATTTTCTCTCATTTTTCATTATTAATAAATTAATAATTATCGTTTATTTATGGAATAGTTTTTTTGTTAAGAGATGTCCGACTTATTGCCAAAAGAACCACAGTTAATAAATGAACACAATAAAGTCGCATTTGGACAAACACCTCAGATTAAATTACAAAAATTGGAGGCTTAAAGCCGTATGGGCACATACTAATCAGTTGAACGAATACATTGATTATTTTTAGTGCCATAAAGGCGGATGTCATCATTTTTTTTAAAAAAGTTAATTTTTCACTGTTTAGAAACATTGTTTTTAAATTTTAATTATAAAGCTAGTTAAGCTACATAATTAGCTAAGTAAATGCAAAGAAAACATTTACGTATTGTTTGTACTTATTGAAATATTTGCCGATAAAATTGAATTTTTATTTTATTCTGTCCTGTAAAGTTGGCAAAATCAACATCCGCCCTAATGCTTCTAAGCTCTAGAAATATATTTTAAACTTTAGTGTCCGATTAGCAGGTCGCTACGCGAAACTACACATTGTTCTCTAATCTCGAGGATGAAGAACAAAGTATAATTGAGTTTGTTTGACGTATGTGTATGTACCTACCTACATGTAATAAATAGATAATGTAAAAAATAAATAAATAGAATCGAAGTTTTCAGTTTAACTTTGTTTTTTAGAGTAATAAATAAATAAATTATCAAAATTACGTGTATTGTGTTTTCTTGGTTGACTAGGACCCCTTTCATACTGCAGTGTGTGATCGGTCGCGCGTGCCACGCTGCAGTGTAAAAAAAACAAGGGCGCAGGCTGAGTCCCGCACCCCGGCGCAGAATAGACTTAAGACGACCCTGACAGGAGCCATAAAATGAACACGAGAAAGACAAATATTATCTTACGATTACGTTCCACTCCACACTGTAATAACTAAATAATCAGCAGTCGAAATAGTTGACAAATTGGGTAACTCTGCGTTGACATAAATGAAATGATAGTTTTAATTTATAAAAAGCATAAGTTAACATAGTAATTGAGAAGCATGTACCAAAAATAAAACATAAAAATAAGAAATACCTGCCTGGTTCACGAAGAAATTAATACGTCAACTAAGAGAGAAGTACAAACTTAGACTAAGAGTTAAAAATATAAAAATCTAATAAGTAGATCTATCAAATACTTGTTTACCAATTATTTATTATCATATTTATGTATTATTTATTTTTATATAAAACAAAATTTTCAAGTAAAATTAAAGCTGAATAATAATTAATTTGCTTAAAGAAATGCAATCAAACTCTATTATTTAAAAAAAACATGTAACCTACGCAGCCTCCGTCCGAGTTTTCAACATCCACGCGAACGAATAGCTAAACTAATAGGTAAGAATTAATAAAATATGGTTAAAATAAAATAAATGAAACTTTTAAATAAAACCTATACCTACCTATTTTACTATAAAATTTATGGAATGTAGAATTATCATTTACAATGAATCTAAAGCAAAATATTGTTTTTATGGAATTATGCGAGTTCTTAAGACTAGAATCTGGCATTGGCGGCGTAGCTAGGGACATTTCCTAGGGGCAACCAGTAGGGTTAACTAACATTAATTGTGTTTGTAAACAAATATTTAAATCGTAAAGTAAATTTTTCATAACTCGAATTTTAGGGTTTGCACATGGTGGGTAGAAAGCTAACTACCTAACTCAACATTGTCATATGTAAAATCAGTACTGCACACCACGCCATCTGTAATTTATCAATGGAACTACCAAGCAAGGCTGTGGAATGAAAGGGAAGTACAACATGCATGCATAGTAGTACCTGATTTTAGTTTAGGGCGCAGTATTTTATAATATCAGGCAGCAGTAATAATTGCATACTTTTGTGACAAAGATTTTTAATTAATGACATTCATATATTTTTTAGTTTCTCATAATCTAATTAAAATGCAGTAGGTTTGAAAAACATTGACCATCTGAAAGAAGATACATAAGTCCCTACAGAATTCTGTTTTCACTGTATATAAAGCTTCACTGTATAGCTTGAACACAAACAGACAGTTACATAATGTTTGTTTGGTAACAACTGGCTTGTAGCTTATGTAACCACATTGATTATATTGCATAACTGTCACCTCAACTAGAACTAGTGTATCTACATATTACCTTACATAACTAACTTAGGGTTTGGAGTTAATTATGTAAGAATAAATTAAAAATGCATTTTAATACATCAATGAATATATTCTTATAATTGAAAAGGTTTTGACATAAACAATTTTGGTAAATGGGTATTGGGGTCCTGAGACACTTAGAAAATTAGCTGTAAGTTATTCTTAGGATATACAAAAACTTTTTAATGAGTAACACTTTGATCCTCCATTACTGGACTACTTTTGAATTTTTTTGCTTGGGTTTCCTCGCAGTCATTGGGTACCTCTTCTTTTGTCAATTCATGAACATTGTATTTCTTATATTTGAAATAATTCTTCACAATACTTAGCAGACATATGCCTTTTATGATCTCCACAATAATACATAAAGTGGGATTTTTAAGATCTGCTTTATTATCTGCGTTCTTCATAACAACCATCTCCGCTAGTTCCTTGATGACTAAATCTCTAGAAACACTGCTGTTAAACCTTTTATTGAAAATAACAGCAAATGTTGCAGATTCTTTTAAGAAAAATTTGTCAAATAGCCTCCCGGCACACTCCATTATGTCTGGCAAATTAGCTTTGCATGTGGCCATGACAGGAAGGAACCGTAAAACATGTCGAGTTTTTTGTATCCTTGTTGTAAATAAATCTTTGATAATAGCTGTGGTTACCTCTTCTGGACTAGGTAGATTAGTCTTAATGAAAATACAATTTGATGCACCAGTTTCAACCACTTGAAACCGTTTGTGCTTGAGAGATTTTTGAGAGTCTTTCTTCATGGACTCTACTTCCTTTTTCAGCAGATCTCCGATGTCAGGCTCATCTTCTGATTCGCTATCGGATCTAGGGTCGGGTGTGGCTGGCGCTGAACCAGCGGGAGTTTGATCAGCCCCTAAATCTGGGTACAGCTTTCCAGCGTACTCGTTCAGCAGATTGTAGACTTCCTTAACACATTCTTTCTCTCTGAAGTTACACGTGCAGAAGAATCCGCGAAAGCCGGGTTCCAAAAAATATTTATTCCTGCGTTTTCTGAAGTAAAACTTCTTCTTTTTACGCGTGTCACCCATATTGGTCACTTGTTCAATTATGATTCTGATAAAGGTGTATGATATAACCGTATTATAATAATGTAGGTATTGAATTGAATTAAGAATTCACATATCAACAAGAAACAACACCCGCCACAAATGTCACTGAAAAGAAAAAGGTGACAATGTCATGAAATGTCATCAAAACAACATAAATGTCAAATCGTTTTTATAGCAAAGGATATTTAGTTCATACAGCCTTGACTTCAGTATTTTTTTTATTAATTACATTGAAATATTGCTGGAACATTTTCGGAAGTTCCTTGAAATTTTTGCCACCAAGTAGATAATAAGGATCAGCTATCTTAGTAAGCTTATATGAAGTGAGTACCTACCAAAGGATTATTCCATGCTAATGATAATACAGGCAGGTAATGGCAGCTCCACATTAATGCCGTGTAATTAAGCCGAAAACCATCAAAAACAGCACACTGGTCAAAAACTTTTGTCTTGTGATGCTTGAGACACTGGGTTATTTAGACGCGAAGAATTTCCGTGACATCCCGACCGCTGCCCATCCGAGCTGGATACGACGAGAGGACTCTTTCTCAAAGTTGGATTTAGCTAATGAGGATCATTTCGAAGTCAACAAATCAACTCAAAATCATAATAGTATTCCAATAAGCTTTCTCATCAATATAAATATTTTACATATTTCCAACACTCACACCAATTGGCCTAGCCCCAAAGTAAGCACTGTAAGGTTTGTGTTATGGGATACTAGGATAACGGATAGAATACATACACTGTACATTTATAAGTATATTTATATAGAAATACATATTAAACATCGACGACTGGAGTACAAATGCTCGTATTCATCACACAAACCCGGCACCTCTCGAATCGGCGACACCATGAAACCCGGCGTACAAACCACTCAACCAAGCAGGTCGTCAATATACTTTTTAAGTCCTCGAAATCGGTCAATCAGTTACGATTTTATAACTCTTTTTATAAAACCAATATTTATCGACGGGCAGGATGTAAGGCCAGAAAGTGTGACGTCACAGAGCTCGATCCGCTCGAAGTTGCGCTGTACTTGCCCTATACCCACACCACCATTCACTACCAAGCGCTCAATGCAGCTAGGTTATCTTGTTTATGTTGTTTAATTAAATAAGTAATGAAGTTAAAAGTAGTGTTTTATGAATCAATTTACTAATGATTAAGTGTAAACACCAAAAAAATATGTTTAAAGTTTTTATTTGATTAACTTGAAATGTATGTATGTTCAGGTAAAATCTTGCAAATGAATTTTCAGTTATCCTCAACCGATTGAGATAAAATTTTACGTACTTACCCTTTAAGTATTTAAGAACAAAGATTGCCATAAAAATATAGTGAGTCAAACAAACTTAGTGGACTATACTGTCGCGTACTTTTTTACAACTTCCAAATGAAAACTATTCTTTTCAGGTACCTTTATGTTTGTGTTGGCTTGGGTTTTGGGTAGGTAGGTATTAATCACAGTTAAGATACTACTAAACTATACTTAGCCTTAGTCGTAAATAATGAGTTTGTATAGGAATCTTAATGACACTTGCTTTTTAGGATTCCGTAGTCCTGGCAAGGAACCCTTAAAGTTTCTTCATGTCCGTCTGTTTGTCCGACCGAGGTTTTGCTTTGAGACTGTTGGCTCTAGAGAGCTGTAATTTTAAGGATATCAATACGCCTACAAAGAGGTAGATTAAAAATTTGAAAAAAAAAATTAGGTTAAATCCCCTGCATGTATCCTGATCAGCCTGATCGTGTGGTGTATTGTTGAATAGGTCCAACCACTAGATTAAGTAATTGCTTGTACTCCTTCTGTAATATATTGTGGTAACGACAGGCAACTACGGAAAACTACACTGCGCGTGGCACGAAATGCACTTGGCAGGTTTTCAGTTTAAATTTCGGCCGATATTAAAATAATCGCCTATACCAAATGCATCAACATTATATATAACCTTAAACCTAAATAATAAACACTAAACAACAACCCAATAAATTATTAAATGCCATACCATTTGCAGTATTATCAGTTCAAACCCCTTTCCCAGTGGGCACTTTGGGCAGATGCACAGGGCCCCGCGATCGATGGGGGCCCCTCAGGATCAAAAACAAAGTCCCTAGTTCCTGTTAAATCACCAAACGGGGGTCATAGAGGCCCCATTATCCTAATATGCCCAGAGCCTACAATAAATCAAAAAAGGCACTGAGTATTATCGAGGTGTAAACAACTCGCACCGAGATAATACTGAAGAAAAGGTAAGAATTGCTTCAAAGAGAAAGTTTTTAAAAACCGGCCAAGTGCTAGCCGATTTCGCGCACGGAGGGTTCTTATCACGTCTTTAATAATTAATTTATTTTTAAAGAAAATATACAACTTAATATTCTGTGAATATTTCAAGAGTCTACCTGCTAGAAAAGTGCTTTATTCTTGTTTTAAAAATAAAGCAGAAAGGAACTCATTACTGTTGTACTACGAAGCGGGCTAGAAAAGAGAAAAGTGTATGGAAATCACTTGTCAAGGTGCTTTTTTTTTATTTTTATTTTTTTATTTATGTTCCGAACAGGTGGTCAGTATGATTTTGCAGACTGCGATCTATTTTTTTAACATTAATTTTGAAAAAAGAACAAAATAAAAAGTGCGCTAATTATTTTATTTTAAACTAAGTTTTTGTTTTCTTATACATTCGAGACGGCGTATATTACTGATATATTATAAACAGTTATTGACACTGCCAGAATTAAGACTATCTAAGACGTCACTAAGAATTATTACCCGTGAAATCAAGAAACCAGTATAAAGCTCCCAGGCAAAAGTTTAGTAACTGTAACAACTCATATAAATTTCAATAAAAGAATTTGTCTTATTTCCTCGTAGGTATAGTATAAATCAATCTGTATCCCTCGGAAGAGAGTCTGGTTGGTGTTCTCCTCGCGGTGAACAATTAAGGTATTTAAGTAAGTATATATAAGAGGCAGTTGCAAGACTTCCACAGTCATTTAGCGAAAGCTCTAAATCACTGCGCCATCGAGCTCCTCATATTAATCTTAATTTTTTGTACTAAACCGCTTCCTTTTTAAACTGTTAAATAAGGCTCAATTTATAATGTCACGGAACTAAGCCTTAAACTGGGCAGCTATATGGAGTTTTGAAACCTCTCGCATTCTCGGGTATTCCCCTAGCTTTAAATGAATAGGCCCAGGGTAAAGTAGTTAAAATTTATCTTTGAATCAACCAACGAAGCAAGAGCCATCTTCCTGAGACGTATTTTAAAACTTGGATACCATTTGCACTGAGAATTAGTAATCAAATCAAAATATAGGTCAGTAACGAATGCCTTTATATGACTTCGCCGCCCCGGGCCATGGCCCTCTCGGCCTTAGAGTAATTATGCCCCTGCCAACTCCTAATCGCGAGTGGAATACTTTGGAAAATATTATTTGTAAAATATGGTTGTAATAATAAACAATTGCGACCATCAGGATTCTAACCCTGGGCATTTGAAATAATAGACCTATACAACGTGTCAGAATAGCAGATTACCAGTATGTTTCTGAATGAGAAGACTAGATTGAAGTCTCTTCCGTGGCACCCAATAATAAAAGCCGTAGGTATTAACAAACTTTTTAATTTTTTTATCATTTCTTATTTTAGTGCTATAAGTAATAGTATAATTTACATTAACAATAAAAAAACATTTTTTTATATAACCTAGAAATATAAATACTATTATTACAATACTTTGAGTAATTAAATTTTTTGCATTGGTTTTAAGTATGACGTCCAGACGATATTTTCAAAATACATTATTATTTTCTAAATTTACAATATTTCGTTTTCATTATTGTTGGCAGATTCGCAACCACTGGTTTGTTTAACTTGGGGCAGACAGTAATGCTGAAACAAATAATAATAAATTTTAGAGAATTTTATATTTAATAGCGCTCAAAAGCATAAAATAACTAAGTAGCAGTAAAGGAATAGACAAAGTCTTGGAAACATTAGGGTTAAAACGAGACATTGCTGTACGCGCAGTAGTATTCTTCTTTAAAAGCTGTTTTTAGTAAACCTCAAATAAGTTTAGCTTTTCATATTATGAGTTTAAAAAATAGCTTTTTTTTGAAGTTATACTTCTTTAGGCGCGTTATGAAAAAATGATGAGAGTGAAATTTTAAGATGCGCGCGCATCACTGTAACACAAAATTTTAACAGCATGAAGTTGGTCGCACATTAAGAAAATCTACCAACAAAATAGAAATAGAATCTCTATTTAGTGAGTGCTAACAACTGCATTGTGAAGGCCTATCAAAAGTATTTATTAATCTGGAACAACGGAACCAAAGCGCGATTCAGGAGACTACAGCGCCATCTCTTGACCATTGGTGTAGTAGAACCAAAAACCACATCTTTATTTTTTGTAATAAAGTAACAGTTATAGGTATTCATATTTATAATATTTATCCACATGTTTCTAGTTTGTATATTCGGAATACGTGTTTGAGTTTCATACAAGTGCAAATCACATATGTTCTAATAAATTATATTCAGTAGCGATTTTAATTGAATATTTTGATTATTTATTTATTTTTTCAAATTAAAACTGAACTTTATTGACTGTGTCCTTTTCCAGACTTTTTATTAATTTATTGTAATTAATTATTTGCATGCAATTAAAAACTAATTTTAAACGATGCCAAAGAAGGATAACTTCTCACGCGCCTACATAAGTACACGCACCCATTTTTTTTAAACTTTGTACTGACAATTACAAACACAACAAAAAATAATTATCAAATATGGTGCATTCTTTCGGAAGTTATGCGTGTACATTTCGGCGATTCATTATAGTTTATATAGAATATAAGATAATTAAATAATTAATACTTACTCAGTGTTGTACTCTATCGAAGAAAGCTTCAAATATTCAATATGTATGCTCGGTGATTTCAATAGGCGCCAAGTCATCGGATTGAAAAGGTTGGTCTCGTATTTCCACTCCACGATCACGTACAGAGGCGGGTGTCCTTTGTCCTTCACGGCAATCATTTTCTTCTCGATGTCTCCAGGCTTGTAGTATTTTCTATAACAATATTTTGACATTACTATTTCTTATTCTGGCAACTGACGTGATGGATAAAATTAAGAAATTGGGAAAACTACAAAAAACACCCATATACGATTAAAACTTAAAATACAGACAAGGAGACTGAATGCCTATTTCATCTTTCAAGACAAAAGTCTGCTTTTTCTTTGTAAAAAACGAGTCGCAGCAGACAAGTCTGTTGAAGAATTGCACTGGATGTTCTTCGAGCTGACGCAAGAAACATAATGTTGCTGCCAAAATATTATATCAAAATTTATTCATTATTAATATTTAATCGCAATCATGCCCCTTATTATTTATAGGAAAAATATGCTTGGACGCTTTGCTTTCTTTGGTTTGGACTTGGATAAGTCAATGAACAGAATCAAAATACTCCCTTGTTAATAACTTCCTTTTGTTTATTAACAAGGGATTAAACTTGGTTAGAATCATACTGATAAAGGACATAGATACCCTAGAACGCACAGCAATGAGAAAATGGTAATTGTTTTCGGAATCATTCATAAACTCTCATTAGGCATTTGTTGAGATACGGACAACTTGCGGAACCGTGGCCTACTACCGAATGTAATAGATTTTGAGGTTATAATTATTATACTTAATCGTAAAAGATGTACACTTTATATATTCTGAATAGATTTAACGTTTACCTTTATGTAAACACTTAAATAATATGCATTAAATGAACATAAAATGCAATTAATAATAAAAATAATAAATGCTTATATTCATATTGATTTATGAGTGTTGGCAGTTGGCACCTATGATACCTATTCTTTCCATTTACCTGTTTCTATATTTTACTATCGGTAATTAGGTATGCACCTGGTTATCATTACGATTTTCATAAAACTATACAGATATTATATGGGACGGGAGTATAAACTATCTTTACATCATTTCAGAAATAAACTTTTTATGAATAGAATATAAATAAAAATACTACTAGTGATATAAGTATTATTAACTAAGGTACCTAGTTCTATTCTCATGTTGATAAATACCTATGGTCGCCTATATTGCATTTATTAAGGTAAACAATCATGGCACAACTTTTTAACAAAATCACCCATTTAAAAATAAAATAATAATGAAGCCAATAAACTAATAAAATAAATCGTTATTACAGACTGAAACCTATTGAATCCAGTTATCAGTTCATTTTTAATGCTGTATTTTCAATAAAAAGGAGTGCCAATATTGTATACCAAATAGGACAAGTAAGGATTAACAGATTGTGGTATCTAGTAACAGAACAGAACAGAACTTTTATTTTTTTAAACAGATTGTCCGTTTACTATGATTAATTGCTAATAAGTTAAAAAAATAATAGAAAAATAACAGTGAAGGACATTCTTTTGGGCATGCTGAGGCCGATTTCGTCGATGTCCTTTTATTATCGTCATTATTATTATTTATTGGATGCATCTGGAATTCCATTGAACACATGATATTATGAATCCTGGATGGCTTGGCACCCCAAATTTCGGAATTAAAACAATTTTGTATTTTTTTTTATGTACTGTGATATTGACGTAAATTTTAAATTATATTGAAATCGTTTATTAGGGCGGAAAGGAATATTTGTGTAACCAGTGTATGATAATGATATTACGAAATACTCGATGATTACGTAAATGGTGGCTTGTCCTATATAATTTACATTTTTATTTGTTTTGAAATCACCGATAAGTAAGGTCAAAAGATATTTTATTTACATTGAATTACCAAGATCCATTGTTGCGAACAACGAATATCGTATAAACAATCTTTATGTTGTAAAGATATTATGTTGTATGTTTATTTTGTTACAGAAGGTCAAAATATCATCGGTAATGCCACTTGATTTCCTGCGTCATTTGGATATTTCGAAATGTTTTAAAAACACCAGGGGGAAATTTTAATAATAATTTCATACTGAAAACATCCGTAATTTCCAAAACCCAAGTAAATGTCATATCTGAAGTACTTTAACTAAATAATCCGCACGCGGTATTATGATTTTATAAATGTCATTTTTAGTGTTCCGTAGTCCTGAAAAGGAACCCTTATAGTTTTTTCATTTCCTTTTGTCTCTGTCTCTGTCTGTCCGAGTTTTTGCTTGGAAACTATTAGCACAAGAGAGCTGTAATTTTGTAGAGGTATATCAATGACTCCGACAAATTATAAAATTTTGAAAAGTATTTTTAGCCACCTTACATGTAAAGTGGGGGTGAATTTCTTCATCGCGTACCCCATCGTTTTGCGGTATCGTCGAATAATTCTTTTAAAACGACTTTAGGATTGCTAAAACTATTTTTCAATTTAGGGATCCATTAACGAAATATAAGTTTCTATAATAAATACTCTAAAAGCTAAACTAAAAACCAAATCAAGCCTAAGAAGAAAACATTAAAAGCGACTGGTGGCGAAAGCGATATTTGTTTAAAACGCGTAAAACCTTGCATTAAAAACAAAATTTTAAAAATACTATTTGAAAACCACAATTAAAGATCATTAGTTCTACAAAGCTGCCGCTAAATAGCGCTGTACCAACGGCTTCTGGTAATGACGGGCAACTACGGAACCCTATACTACGCGTGGCACGATACGCACATGACCGGCTTTTTAAGTAGCAAAAGCGAAGATGCTTAATGACAGAAACACCTATGCGATAATTTTAGAAAAATATGTTTGGCTATATAACCAAGACATAGATAGAAAAGTTATGCTCTTAACACAAATAAAAACTTCTACAAGAAGCTGAACTTAGAACCCCCTAAGAATGTAAATGGGCCATTGCATCAATGGCTGTCATTGATTTTATTTATGAAATATTTATGTTTTCTTGTTATTCTCATCCACACTGCTGTACAGACTTCTCAAAATCGATAAATAGATTAAAACCTGGTATAGCATCCGAAATAAAAGTGCATTTAATACATTGACTATAAACCCAGTAGCTGCAATTCGAGCTATACAACCTTAGTGGTACAGGGAAATACGAGTAAAGAAAACTATAAAACTCAATAATGCTATTTCTTATTCGAATGTTTGATACTTGTAAGCTTCTCTCATTCGATATTATATTGGGCAACATTACGAAAAAGTGGTATTGCGTTGCAGTCTATATTGGTACTAGAAGAAATTCGACAAGTCCATATGGACTTTGATGCATACTAGTCAGTCAATGCTTTCGCCCAGATAATGAGTGTTGGCTCTATTCTAACCTATATTTTTAACATAATTATATACATTCGTAAGTTTGTTTAAGGTAATGGAATACTTAGAGGAGCTCGATGGCGCATGAGGATAAAGCGTTCGGCCTGCGATCGTGGAAGTTAAGCAACTTTCGCAATGGTCGATCATTGGATGGGTCACCAAAAACTTAGTATCTTGAGCTCCTCCGTGCTACGGAAGGCACGTTAAGCCGTTGGTCCCGGTTGCATCTACATTCCTTAGCAGCCACTAATCCGCACTGGACCCGCGTGGTGGGTCATGGCCCAATCTCCCTTTTTCATCCAAAGGGAAGGCCTGTGCCCCAGCAGTGGGCCAACATTAATAGGCTGGTGATGAATGGAATACTCACTGTTCATCATCAAGGAATTTGTGCTCACTCCTATTGTTGTATCTGTCGACCAAGGTGATCAAAACTTTTCCAGACTCAGGGCCGTGTGTTCTACTTGCATTAGTATTTGAGACCTTTAACGTGATTTCATAGTGCACTCCTGGAAATAAATAATAACAGTGGTGATCTTACAAATCAATACATATATTATAAATGCGAAAGTGTCCGTCTGTCTTTTACCTCTACACGCTTAAACCGCTGAACCCCGGGAATTAAGTCCCGGAAAAGGTAGGGTAATTAAAACAAATTTCTACGGTATAGATGCACTGATTTTATTTACTGACATTTCGCATCCTTTACAGGATGCTTAGTCTGAATAAACTGTTTCGTAACCTTTACAGGGGGTCGTCGATAAATAAATAAAATCAGTACATTTATACCGTGGAAACTTGTTTTATTGAATGAGTGATGTGCGTGAAAACGTTATTTATTCATTTATTTATTGCACAAATAGTTTTTTAATGGGGTGTAAAGGTGAGTGGGAGTTGGTATAGAAAACCAGTTAAACCAAGCAGAAGATGTTGCGGGCACCCATTAATTAGGATATAAATAATATTAGTACTTTAGGATATCGTACCCAAAGGGTCGAAGAGATCGATTGTAGAAGGTTAGCAACTGTTGTAATGACGGGTCCTAGGATGGTTGGCCAAAGATTTATTATCAGGAGCTCCTCTATGATTTGAATGGAACGTTAAGCGATTGATCCCGGCTTAATCTGCAGTGGTTAGCACCCACCAATCCGCACTGATGTCCCATTCTACCTGCTCAAGCCTAATGGAAAATAGAGGTTAGCTTACAAATAAGGATATATTGTATTTATGATTCCATACAGAAAGGGACTCGATCGTAGAAGCAGCCAGTCATTGGATGGATGACCAAACATTTATTATCTCGGGCTCCTCTGGGTTTTCAGAAAGATGGGTAATATAGATTATAGCTTCCTTTTCATTTTAGGGTAGAGCACACGCCGGGTATCCGCTAGGTTTAGAAAAGAAGTAAAGACTTTAGAAGAAATGAGGAGCTGGCGAACAAAACGGTATAATTACGCATCTTGTCAAACTACTTTTTTTTACAATCCGGAGGTTTCGGGACCGTTAAATTTGAATCTCAACTAATTAAAATTACTAAATCAATAAATTAAAAACCATGCCAAAAACTCACTAGAGTTATGTCATTCAATTTTATACACCTCCTGTAAAATTAATTTCATGTAATTATACCGTTTTGTTCGTCAGCTCCTCAAATATAAACTCACGGCAGAAAGGTTTATTATGCCCAGTCATGGAGAACAGGGCGATGTTAGTATTAGTGTCTACGAGGCCGGCATCATGGAGCTTCTTGTACATCGTGTACGAATGGTATCCCATGGGGATGCAGAAGTGCTTCTGGTCGCATGTCGTGCAGTTACCCGCTAGAAACGCCTGGAACAAACAAAAAAGTATATATGTTACACTATAAGGTATTTATCTATGGGCCTATGTAACCTGATCATAAATTAATTAATTAATTTTAAGAAAATACGAATTTGTGGGTAAACTGGGCCTATTAAAGTTCTCCATTTTCTGGGGAATCGGTAAAATGGAATGTCATTGTATATAGAAAATCTGGTGGCATAATTACAATGGATCTATCAAGGACTGGATCCCTACAGCCTGTCTTTCTATCACGTAACTACATTGATGTGGGGCTAATTTTAATCTGGATCTGCACCATCAGGATAGATATAATGTCTCATCTCGTATGAGGCATACTGCATGGCTTTGTAGGTGCGGGAGGGGGTAATGTGGTCTCTCAGTGTCCTCATGGCTGCGGGGGAGAACTACCCCGTCAGGAGAGATTTGTGTCTCACCTCGTAGGAGGCACACTGCATGGCTGTGAAGCGGCAGGAGGGGGGAGATATGTGACTACGGGGGGAGATCTGCCCCGTCAGGATCATAGACTTAAGGTTTAGAGACTGACAGAGTGAGGAAGAGATATCATACCCTTACGACAATCCTACAAGGTAGAAAGAGACGCAACATGATATACCTTTGGTTCAATAAATTAAGAGCCAACATCGTCCTGTGAAGTCGTACTGTGACAGTTTATTATGACATTCTGTAAAACTACGAAAACAATCCTGTGTTTTAAGCATATCTTGACAAATTATTTTTTGTAACACACGCGATAGGTTCTCTGTCTATCTTTACATCCTATTTTTATGATCAGGATAGATAATATGTCTCACCTCGTAGGAAGCACACTGCATGGCTATGAAGGGGCAGGACGGGGTGATTGTCTCGACGAATATCTCGTGGCTGCGTACATGATTGCACCCCAGTATTCTCATGACCGCTGGGGCTAGATCTCCTCCCCCTCCCGCGTTGGCCCCGCATCCTGGTTGTATCGAACCCCCGTTTGGATAGAAATCCACGTGACCAATTGGCTCTGATATACCCAGACCTGATAATGAAGAAATCGATGATAATCACAATATTTGCGTTAAACTAGCGGAACGGAACTCTCTATTGACGAGTGCAAAAGAAAATACAATATGTAGTTGTAATCATCTGTCTACATTCTACACTGTACAGTCTCCTGCTTTAATATGGCATCCACGTAAGGTTGAATGTCATACAGCACGTTGTCACAGTATCAGCTACTATTATAAAAGCAAATATGTTGCTATGAAATTTAAATAAGGCAATGTCACTAGATACATGAAAATTTCTTCATTTGATACTGAAACTAAAATGAAAAGCTGCAAACTGGTTATTACTCAAAATTGTCAATTCTATAGGACATAAAAAGTATTTAGCATTTAGATGCTGTTTAGCTGGAGTTTTTACTACCTAAATGTCATGAAAGTATCTTACAAATTAAAGCACGTGACCTTCTATACAATTAAATATCTAAACTACTACGTACCTGACATGTACAACGGCATGGCGTTAGTGTGTATGATGTCGACGTATTTAGCATCGGAGCGGTCAAGACGCACCATAGTCACGGTCTTGCTGAAGTATGGGGCCGCAGGGTCTAAGCCCGTTATCCTTCCCAGTTTTAGATTGAATTTCTGAAAGAGCGTAATAGAAACTTAAAGGCCTTTCTTTTCATCAATCTGCCCCTCTAGCACGTTTTTATCACGCTCAATTATCAAATTACTATGGAGTTTGACAGTTAGGCGTGATAAAAAGCGGTGATCATGCTACGGGGACTGGATCTGGATAAATGGATAAAGCCAGAGAAGATAATGTTGACAGTTAAAATTAAACAATGAATTATTTGAATACTTCATGATTATAGGCATATCAGCGAAAGGGAGAAGCATTTCGCTTTAATGAAATAAATAAAAAAATATTAAAAATTAAAATGAAGTCTTCATTTAGTAAAATTTTCTTTATGGAGTATTTAGAGTATTTTCCCTCCGTGTGGCATAGTTTTGGGACACTTTGAATATATACTCGCAAATAACGTTGATGTTGCGACTTGCAATTCTTCATCAGGCTTGAAGTTCAGATTCTGTCGTGGTACACTTAGTTAAGAGTCCCACTTGGCCCAACCGTAGGCAATGAAATTCCATATTTTTAAGATTTATCGACTGTTGGATTGGATACTAGTTTCAAACTAGCATTAACTATAAATAATTTTGAGTGAAAGTCTCTAATTAGCTTAAAAAAAGCGTTGGAAAATGCATACAAATGCTCACCTTTTGTAAAGCATGTCCACAATATCCAGCAAGATGTGCCCCCAAGGAATGTCCAATAAAGTGGAAGTTATCAACATTTGACAATCCCAGTACTTCCTGTGAAGATACAATCATTATTGTAATTTTTTTTCTAGTAATGTCAGATGGTCAGTTAGATTGGCCAATGATATACAGTCATTGGTTGCTAAGCATAATAACACTGCTTTGTAAAACAAAATCTTTTGCTGCGGCTGTCTGTAACTATAATTATGTACGATTGCAATGATCTCAAAAAGGTTCAAGGTTTATACTTTTTACCTATGTATAATAAAATTCTGAAAGCAAAAAAGTTTTTATTTTGTAATATATGATCTAGCCACACAGAAATGCGAAAGCTCGATATAGTACTACTAAATACGAAACTATGTGATTGCATCGCTTGGATTCAGCGTCTTTTTCACTGATGCTTAAAGGGTCTGATGATATTATATCCAGAAAAATTGCAGAGAATCTAAATTTCTTTGGCATAATATTAGATAGAATGTTATTAGAAATTCAGTACTTATAATTTAGTAAAAGCAGCATACATAACATTCAAAATCATACAAAACAAACAGATTATTATTTAAGAATACCATGACACTCACATAAATGTTATGGATAAGGTGTGCAGTCATAACTCCTATTAGTCGGATGTTAGCCACGGCTTGCCCGTACGGCGGTTGTGAACCGCCAACCCAGTCCACTATCATAACAGATGCGCCGTCATTGCCTTCTTGATTGAGAAGTGCATTCGTCATATCCTGGATCTATAACAAATATTTAACAAAGTATGTATAAATATCCGGAACCTCTCACAAATATAGCAAAATTTATAAATACACAAACAAAGGGAATAGATTAGTACTTAGTAAATTGTATGAAAGAAAATGGGCAGGGGAAAACCGGGCGACTTGCCCAGATGGGAGAGTTTAACCATCTTTTGAAATTGTATTTAAAAGTGCAAATAAAACGTCAGTTCGTTTATTGGTGACACATACATGTGAGACGCCAATCACAACAAACAGTCTCGCAGTTTCGCGCTTAATTTAAATACAATATTGAAAGATGGTTCAACTCTCCCAACAAAGGGCAAGTCTCCTCAATTTCCTCTACGAAATAACATACAAAAATCCAGTTTTAAAGGAATTAAAATATTTTTGGAGTTTACTCCTTAAGAATCGATTTGCATATACAGGGTGGCCGGAGAGTTGGCGTTTAAGCGTAAAATTTAGATACTTTATGATGAGGAGTATCCAAATCACCCCCATGTATGTTCTACGATTTTGCGTAGTTTTCGAGTTATAATTTTTTTAATGATTTTTTTCGTAATAACTGACTAACATAGTCTAACCTATCACCCTAAAACTTATGGATTATCTAGGCATTGCAGAATTCACTTAGAATTTGTTCGAAAGTTCAAAATTACGATTTGAGCTCAGTACACACAAATTTTCAAAGTATCAAAATAAAATGTAAATGGGGGGGATTTTGAGTTCAAAGTGCTTTTAGAAACTTCCTGAGACATTAAACTTTCAAAAAAGGCCAAATAAAGAAACGGTTAATGAGGGTTTATTTTCTGTAACTGACCTCCAAAGTAAATTAAGGCATTTTCAAAGGAATTATTTTATTATATTTAAATATTTGACTTTCTATGAGTTATGATGGATATGAGTAAAACGCAGTTAATTGTGAACATAATACAAACCTAAAATTATGTTTTCGGTGCCTAAAAGCTTCACGGTTATTTTTGACAGTGGTTTCAGCTTCGCGAATTTTTGCTCTCACTTCTTCACTCGAAGCTTCTCTGGCGAACGCAATTTCTTTAAAGTAGCCCCAGGTAAAAAAATCAATAGGGTTGAGGTCAGGCGAGCGTGGGGCCAGGCAATTGGCCCTCGTCGTCCGATCCACCTGTTGGGGTAGGTCACCAGTCCTTAGACCACTAAATGGCGACGCACTTGTGTCGCGTAATGACATGGCGCCCCGTCGTTCTGGAATACCATCGTTCTTCTTAATTCAAGATTTACATCTTCCAGTAATATGGGTAGATTGTCTTCTAAAAAACTTTTGTACGTGTCGCCATCTAATCTCGATGGCAGTTCAAATGCGCCTATTAATTCGCCATTCAAAAACACCAGACCACATGTCAACGCTAAGACGATGTTATAATGATGATGGTCTGGCGGCATGAGGATTTTCAACGGCCCAAATGTGAAAATTGTGGATATTGAAAATCCCAGTTCGCTCAAATCTTGACTCGTCGGTCCACAGGATTTTATTAAAGTATTCGGGATCTTCTTCCTCTTTCTGCAACATAGTTCTACAAAACTCGACTCTCAATTGATAATCTGAAGGCTGCAACGCTTGTACTTTTTATATGTGGTAGGCGTGAAATGATTCCTCACGCAAAATATCCTGTATTGAAGATCTTGGTAAGTCAAGGTTACGAGCTAATGCTCTCGTACTTGTACTACTATTGCGTTGCACTTCTTCCAGTACGATTTCCCTGCGTTCCTGATCAACCCTCTGAATGCCTTCACCGCCACGTTGGCCAGGAATGCGGCCTGCCGTTAACGTATTGTGAGTATTCATGTACACATGGTAGTCAGGGTAATGATCAGGTTGCGCTCCGCCTCAGCGTTGAAGTTGATCCCCGTAGAAATAATGCATTTCTGCATATTCACTCAGAGTGTAGGGCATCACTAACACTTCCAAGTAACTACAGTCCAAATCGTTAGGCACTGCTGAATCCAGTAACAAGCAGGGGTCAAACAAGTAAGCAGCGGCGGTATCAGTAGGCAAATAGTGGTCGAGAAAAAACGGCAGAGCAAGACAAGTAAGTAAGTACTAGTAGAATTTAGGTCATTAACAACTGTGTTTTACTCAAATCCATCATAACTGAGAGATAGGCAAAGATTTAAATAAAAGAAAATAATTATTTATTTTCCTTGAAAAATGCCTTAAATTACTTTGAAGGTCAGTTACAGAAATAAAACCCCCATTAACCTATCTTTATTTGGCCTTGTTTTAAAGTTTAATGTTTCAGGAAGTTTCTAAAAGCACTTTGAACTCAAAATCCCCCCATTTACATTTTTTTTTCATACTTTGGAAATTTGTGTGTAGTGAGCTCAAATCGTAATTTTGAACTTTCGAACAAATTCTAAGTGAATTCTGCAATGCCTAGATAAACCATAAGTTTTAGGGTGCTAGGTTAGACTATGTTAGTCAGTTATCACAAAAAAACTGAACCAGAAACGTCCAACAGAATGAGAAAAAAATTGAAAACGGATGTTAGGTGGTAATTACGAAAAAAATCATTAAAAAAATTATAACTCGAAAACTACGCAAAATCGTAGAACATACATGGGGGTGATTTGGATACTCCTCATCATAAAGTATCTAAATTTTACAGTTGAACGTCAACTCCCCGGCCACCCTGTATAAGGCGCCCGGTATGAGAAAAATGTGAAGAGTAAAATCTATCGATGAATGACCTCGTTACGTTTTTGGTGCGCATCCTATGTCGCGCAACTTTGACAAAAAAAGATGACGGATTGACATTAATAAAAATTTTAAAATCTGAACTGAATTTAGATATTGTTTCTGATAGAGCAATGGGGACAACGAGGTATGGTACAACCATTGATGCGGTATTTTCAAGATTCGTGAACCATGTATCTACGAACGTCCATGTGTCTTATTTTAGTAACCATAAACCACTTGTCACTGTAATTAATAATGCAGACAATGTTGATTTAATTAATATTTTAAAAAAATGATAATAGTCTGATAATAATAATTACATAATTTATCAACATTCCTAATGATATATTTATGCACATCTGAAATTGACTATTGTAAAAAGTTTAATGTAAAATATTTCGTCCATTAGTTATAATAAATGTATATGAAATGAATAAATATATATTTATATATGTATATTATTTTCATTAATTTGTTAATTTACCCTTTCATACAGTATCAATCTTTTTTTAAGTTAAATAAACTCTTTTTGCGTCTGGTTAGTCTATCGAACTTAAGGAGTAAACCAAGAGTAAACTCCAGTCGTGCGTCGGAGCTGACACACACATTTTTTTTTACCTGGAACCACATGGATGTTGGTTCGATAGTGAAACGCTTTATTATTATTAAGTAAATGACCTTAGAAAAGGACCAAAGACATTTGTCCCGAAACTATTATTTACAGGAGTAAAATTGCGAATAAAAGTTTGTGAGGGAAACCAACTAACGCAGACAAAGTCGCGAGCATCCCCTACATGAATAACAATATTCAAGTATGTATTTATTAGGGAAAAATTTTATCCGTTATATAAACATATAAATAATATAAACTTAGAAACAAAGGGATACTGGCTTGGCTGAACGGCCCTGCGTTTCATAGATTATGAAAGGTAGGAAAAAATTATACTAACTTACGTCAAAATGAGAAGGCTGTTTTATAGATATGTTATATATAACATTATTATAAACAAACATATATGGCCAGGCACTTTATGTGGGCCATAACTAGGATATAAAGGAGATCGCTCAGCTTCCATACATGTTTGGCCTAAAGACCAATAATCATGAAAAATTGTTTCCTAGATTCGAAATTATATATAAATTACTGTAGAAACGAATATTATTGACGGACACCCCTGAGAACTTCTATAAACCATAATACACTGAACATATTAAAATAACAATAAACAAATAAGTTATATAGTAAACTAGGGAAATCAAGCCAAGTACCGAAATTATGGATTAGATTCAGGTATATAGAGCATGTAGATTAACAGATAGTTGCCTGTTTTTAAAGTTAATGCATAAGAGTAACTTTTAAAATCAGGTGTCATTTCCGATTATAATAAGGTACTCTGTGATGATTTTGAATGAGCCACAGATTAGAGAGAATTTTTAAACTCTCGTTAACCAAAGAAAGCTAAGAGATTTAGGTTCTATAGCCATATACTCAGTAGCTTCATTATTTTTGTTATGTTTTTAAGATAACCATATTTTAGATTTTTAGTGTATCAGACCTTATAATTTTATTTATTTATTAATTTATAGTCAGGGAACGTAGGCCCATAGATAGACCTTAAAGTCTAACATATATACAGATTATAATGTGTTTATGGAGGTGTTTGGCGAAAAATGTATGGCAATAGACTTTATGATGTCGCCTACCATCTATAATAATTGTCTGAGCACATTTGCATCTAGTGAAAATGATAATATCGTTGTGGATATTAATACAGTGTAATAAAAAAAATGATTTATGTTATCGATCTTTACATAATAGATTTGTTTTTATTGATATATAAACAACTTCGATCAGTCTTTGGCTGAATGTTACTACACCCATAGCCATTAAAAATGATTCGTATGTTTTCCAAACCGGTAAAATTAAAAGTCCTTTTTAAAGTAAATATATTATACAAAGGTGTCCGTTGAAATCTAATGACCGTAAATTAAATTATAAATTACGCCAAGAATTACCGTGTATGTCAATATTTTTTGTGCATTTAGGCCAATTTGAGCAATCTCCTTTAAATGCATTTAGCTATTGATTTGTTTTTGTTTGCTCCGCCTCAATAATAAACGGGTTAATTAATGTTGTTGTACTATTTCATTTTCTGTGATAAAAATAAATTACAACAACCGTTATCATAAGGAAAATAACGATTATCGTCTTTCACTAAAATATAAACATGCAAATTACCCAAGGCTTGTGTCCGCCTTCCAAGAAACCGTGAGATATAAAATAGAAAGGACCTCTCGGATCAATATTGGCGTTCTTTATTCTATCAATATTATCAGCTTGTAAAAACACGGGCACCTTTCTGTTTCGTCTTGTAAAAGTGGGATATCTGAAAAAAGGAAAAGTACATAAGTTACTTTTACTGGATAAGGTAAGATAATTGCTGTTCTACTTACAACTTAATATTTTACATGTAAATATATATAATGTGTTGTTGGTGTAACTGGTAGTATTGTAATGACATATTAGTCATTTATTTGTAGATAAAAACAAGCGATTTCGACATAGAACTGCAGCTGAAGATATTAAGGGAACTCTTGAGTGCTTTGGAAGACATGGGAGGAACGACCACCAGCAACCCCGAGCGCATTTTAGAGACTACATTTATATTTTTATCCTAGGGTAAACCTAAGAATACCCCAGTAAAGAAGACCAAATACTGATAATTAATTAAAACGAACGTAAAAATGACCTGCATTCTATATCTAATAGTTGACATGGTATATTTTTTACACGTAGTTAGTGATCTTTCAAACAAAGGTCAACGGACTCAAATAACTTTTGCCCACTAGATAAGTAAGTAATGCAATGTGCAACGAAATATTACCGACGTTTTATCATTCGTACCAGCGGTACAACGTCACACACGATGCAATAACGCTACGTAAACAGTTGTTTTGTCTCGTTTCTGTGTGATTGATGTCACGGACAAGCCCCCGAAGCTTCGCCCATTATCTAGCAACGCCTTATCTTTAAGTGCGTAGGTACTTATGTTTGTTTATAAATACCAAGCGGATCTTAGTATTTTTTGTTTCATTTGATAACTTATCGACTATGGACCTTATGTAGGGATAATAATTATAATAAAAAAGCTTTATCTTATTGTTAGGCTAGTTAAATGGTCATTTTGATAATTTAAAGTTTTAAGGAATCCTTTATTTGGCCTTCAGGAGTAATAGTTAGGAAGATCTTATAAAGGAATCATAAAGTTGTTAATCTATTTCAGTTCCATCTTTTATAAAGGCAAAACCGTCCCAAAAATAAGGTTTCATGTTGTCGTTATAGTTATTTCCTTCAAACTAGTTTGGAATAAGAATATCGACCATTTGTAGTTACGAGCAAAATAAATATCTACAGTATAGGCTTAGTCATAAAAAGAGTTTCGTAACCCAAAAAATATATTATCTGGCAAGCTTCACCATCCTATTAATACTGCTGGGGTGCACAAAGGCCTCCACTATGGATGGCATGGCACAACAGCAAAAGCAGCCGGGACCAACTGAGGAGCTTAAGACAATAAGTTTTTGGTCATCCATCCAATGACCGATGTAGTGAAGAAGTCAGTACAACGGATACGGTCGCCCTCCTAAAGTTCAAGTTCTTTGCATGTTCATGCGGAATCTAAACTATCCATAGTCCTTTTTAACAAGAATTTCGCGCAAAGGTGTAATATTATACACATTACAGCGATATACACCGATCAATACTGCGCTTATGTACACGTAAATACGATATCCTATTCATCCAATTGTGTCTTATCATTTTGCTCCTTTTGCACTAATTCGCTAAGAACAGCTGAGGATACATAATACCAAAGGTTATTTCCATCAAGAGAAATTTTAACCATCTAGTCAGGGTTATGGTTTAATTGATGAAAAGCGATCTTAAAAAATATTATAATCAAAAAGATATTTACATAACCTATAAATAAATAGGTATAAGTTATTGTTAAAGATCTTGATTTTTTATATTATAGGGGGCTCACGCGATGGTAAGTGATCAACTTTGCCATAGACACCAGGAGCGTAGCAAATGCGAATAATGCGATGCCGGCCTTTAAGGAAATTACAACTCTTTACAGGGCTGTAAAATCTTACAGAGAAAAAACCCCAAGTCTAAAGTCTTACTTTATATAAAGTCGCCAGGATTGGAACATCATTGAAGAATAATTTTCTAGCATTGAATAATATGTAAATGCGAGAAGATTTCATTGAAGTTTTAAAGTGTTATTGTATTCTATTTTTAGTATTTGTTGTTTTAGCGGTACAAAACTACATCATCTGTGAAATTTTCAACTGTCTAGCTAGCATGAGATACAGCCTGGTGACAGATATACAGATAGACGGACAACAGAGTCTTAATAATAGGGTCCCGTTTTACCCTTTGAATACGGAACCCTAAAAAAGACACATATGTTTTGAATAAGTACCTACTACTAAACTGGATGTATCATTTTTTATGGCGAACTACAAGAATACACTATAATAATTAATTATTACAAAAAAAAACAACAAAAAAAACCGAGACGATAACTGATTGCTGCGGATATATCTTCATGAAAACAAGGGGAGTAACTATTTTAATTAATAACTGAATCGACCACGGATTTTTACAGTAACATGAAACCCGCAACTTTTGTTTTTACAACATATTATTGGAAGTATGCGATAAACCTCTGGACACGTGAGATTGGGTTTCATGGCCATTCACTCCAGTTAAGAACCAATTTGAATTCATTGATATATATTATTGTGTTTTCTAATTATACATCTTATTGCAAGATTTTTGTGTTTTTTGGCGCGATTACACTTGGTCTTTAGTCCGAATACGAGTGCCTATGGAATTCGAACAAACAACTAAGTGTAAATCTACGGAGTCGAGTACGCTCGTATTTGTTTCGTTCCAACTAAAACGCGGGTGCAGGGTGCCCGAATTCGTGTAATGTCTTTCGTGCACCCGAATACGGGCTAACGACCAAATGTAATTGAGCCATTAGGATTCGTTTTCAAGTAAAAAAAGCGAGCGAGCCTTACAGTAGTCGCGTATGATGTGTAACATTTGAAAGCTCACCTTATATTAGTAAAAATGAAATAAAACCTGCTACAAACGGAATAAACCATTTGAACATTAAGTTCTAAAATCAAATCAAATAGCGCGCGCTTTCACGTCTTCCTGTTACACACTTCCATCCCATTTCACAAAATCACTCCCACAAATTGCAGGAAAGCGAGAGGAAAGATGTTACACATCAAAAACTATGTACTTAATAAAATTCCAATTGTAGTTACGTATCATAAACTATTAAGATCGATGGCAAAGTGATTAGCGCGTTATCGGTCTGCAATTTCGAAGTTGGGAGTAACCAGTAGCTCCTACTCAAAAGACAGAAATTTTTTTTCTGCTTTCTAGGCTCTACATAGAGGGCTAGAGTATGTGGGAATACTTCACGAGGTGCAAGATTGCCCCCCTTATGTTATAATGCCGCGCTCTAGTTAATCCAAAAATCCCCGCTTGGGCTCCTCTAATATAAGATGGTTAATGAAATATTTCTTATAGTCGGCCTAACTGGAGTTCCTCCTTATTTAGTTTCGTAAGTAATTTTTAAAACAGTACCACCACAGAAGCTCTTTCTGTGTTCCGTGGTTAGCACCCACCAAATCGCACTGAGGCCGCGTGGTAGATCAGGACTCGTTCCCCCTATTATATCCATTGGAAAGACCTGAGCCCCAGCAATGAGAAAATTTAAAGGCTCACTATGAAGCATGTTGATAAAATACCCGAAATATATCGGTTTAAAAATATGTTTAACAAAGGTAAAATAGATACATAAAAAGTTATTTACAAGATATACAAAACAATGGGAGCTACTTTAACAGAATTTGAAGATTATAATTAAAGTACCTTATAACTACACTATTAAGTATCAAGTTAATTTATTTAAATTAAAATGATGAAATTTCAGATCTTCTTATCTTCAGAACGCAAAGAGAAATTTGACCCATCGTTTTCTACATCCTGTACATTTAGCTACTTAATTACTTATATTTAAATTACCTTATTGCCATAGATTCTGGAGGAATTGGGAAGTAATTGTCGGGCCGGTTCTCCGTCCACGGATAACCTTTTGAGAAACATCCATATTTCCCATAGCAACGTTCAACCTCTTGTGATTTGGAAAAAAAATTAAGTAAGAATTAAAGGATCCCAAGGATATCGGTTAAAAAAGACACACGAATGTTTCAAAAGGGACATCAATTTTTAAAGTTATTTAAGTTGCACAAGTATGCTGATCTAGTTAATACTCAGTCACTGCAACCCGTGTTTGCTGACAAACATGTAACTTGATTCTTTTGACGAACACCAAATGCAAATTAAGACATTATTTCGAGAAAAAATCATTCATATGAAATAAATATTAAAAGATACCACAAGGTCTCGAATCTTCCTAAATCAAGCAAACCATAGTTATTCTTAATATTACTTTATTAGACTTATAAACTCACCACCAAAACTTCCCGGAAAATTCGTTACGTCAGTTCCATTCTGATTTTCCATTAAAACCATAATAGTCTGCAGCATCAATGTGGCACTTGTCCGGTTATACATTTTTAGTTACACCAAATCGCATACATCAATGAACAGAATTACCATTAGCATACAAAATAATCGTTCGTTATCAACGCTGAAATATGATCAGTGGTTGAAAGAGTATCACTGTTATAACAATAACGTCCAGTCGGCAGTGTGCTGGGAAATGAGATATATGGACGACGACAGCTCGTTAAATATTGAGTATGAATGCAACGAATACGTCTAACAATTGTCATTACCTAACAGGACCTATAGTTCGCAGACGTTCCGGGAGAGGAGATAACAGGGGTTACGACGTTATCGTCGGCGGCTATTTGTTAAAAACTATTGACGCACGAAGCAGTCTGGCCGATTGCGATCGTATGTGGGGATGTGGGCGTTAACGTGTGTGTCTGTTTGATGTATGAGAGACGATAACTGTCTGGCAAAATTGCGAGGACAGAAGAAATTTCATACACTATACGTACTTAGTTATCTACTTGCACTTTCATTGGAAGTTGCCAATTCTTATGAGCCTTACATTAGGATTAGCGAGAATAGATTTATAATACAATTAAAACTGTAACTTATAACATCATAGTATATTTTTTTACGTTTTTCTAGACATACATTCTTATCAGTTTCTGTCCTATACAGAAAAGATATAGTATTCTTCATAATTAGTTGTACAGAAAAATTAGGACGATGTTTAATCAAAGAGCACATGACTACTTCAATCACAAATCAGAAGGATCTCTAAAAATAAATTCCAATAAATCTCAAACAACAGTAAACAAGAATCGGACTTTGTAACTAGTTGATAAGTCCTAATTAACGAAATAAAGCCAATGAGCAAATATCACTTAACGCACCGTAATCACATACTAGGATGTTTTGCTAAGTATACATTAAAAATACCATTATAACAATAAATGATTTATTTGTAGGCATCAAACCCATTATAAAATATAAAAGTATACAAATGGACTATTATTTAAGTATCCTTAAAATTATAGTGACATACCTAGTGTTAACTGAATACTATAATCTAATAAATCATGGAAAGAATAGTCAACATAATTATATGTACCTATATTCCAGCAAGTAGTAAAATAGCAAACTTCAGGATCAAACTTCGAATTGTTCATGAAAATAAAAATGAATACTTTTTAGAATTTTACTCATTTTAAAATATGGAGTGGACGCATAAAGAAGACCGTATTGCAGTTATTGCGTTGCATCGTTGCAGTTACGCGCCAATTAAAATTTTTGACATACTGAAAATTTTGAATATAACCAAAAGATTCGTTTATCGTACCATCAAACGATACAATGAAGACTCTAGTGTAGATGACAGGTTAAGAAGTGGTCGCCCTCGGTCTGTTAGGACTCCAGCAGTGATAAAAGCTGTGAAGGCGCGAATTCAAAGAAATCCCAAACGTAAGCAGAAACTGTTGGCCCTTCGATTAGATGAGGGGGAGGGTTTCACTTAGATGGGTTTAAGCAGAACCACTGTGAAAAGGGTGTTAAATGAAGACTTATGGCTTCGGGCATATCGAAGAAAAACAGGACATCGTTTGAATTCTTGTCTAATGGACCTGAGACTAAAGACGCGCTTTGTTGAAATATCGGAAAATTCTTTTTTCGGATGAAAAAATTTTTACCGTAGAAGAGATCTACAACAAACAAAATGATAAGGTGTACGCACACAGTAGTGAAGAAGCGAGCAACCGTATTCCGCGTGTCCAACGAGGTCATTTTCCATCCTCGCTCATGGTATGGTTGGGAGTTTCTTATTGGGGCTTAACAGAGGTACATTTTTGTGAGAAAGGTGTAAAAACGAATGCAGTTGTATATTAAAATACAGTCCTGACGAACCTTGTGGAACCTGTTTCTCATACCATGTTCAATAACAGGCACTGGGTATTCCAACAAGATTCGGCGCCAGCTCATAGAGCGAATGGCACACAAGACTGGCTGGCGGCGCGTGAAATCGACTTCATCCGGCACTGGAGGAGGGCCAGTCCCTCCTCCAGTCCAGATTTGAGTCCGTTAGATTACAAGATATGGCAACACTTGGAGGAAAAGGCGTGCTCAAAGCCACATCCCAATTTGGAGTCACTCAAGACATTCTTGACTAAGGCAGCCGCGAATATTGACATGGACCTCGTTCATGCTGCGATAGACGACTGGCCGCGCAGATTGAAGGCCTGTATTCAAAATCACGGAGGTCATTTTGAACTTTATTGTCATAAGAATCTATGTTTTGTTAAGTTCATTTTGGTATATGAATGGTTACATAATGAATAAACTTGTTTCAATTATTTTATATTATTAGACATGTGACAGAATTTATGACCTGACTAGGTATATTTTATGTCAAATAGCCTTTTGAAATATTTTCTATCTTTTACACTAATTATTATCGTCATTGTACTGTCGCTGCTTTTGACAAAATCATGTTGCAGTGGTCAATAAGGTTGGCTGACTAATATTTATTTTTACCATTGCTGCTCTAAATTCGGAACAAGCAGAAATTATCACAACTGACATGAAAAAAAATTTACCTATTGGCTGGCTAAATGGAACTATTTTAACAACATGTACAGTTAAAAAAAGTTTTCGCCTATTTTGTTACCTAGTAAGTTATTTTTCTATCTGTCCCCGTAGTTATTTTATGTCTACCAACTTATCGCACTATTACCTTTATATTATATACATTAACTTATTACCTCCTAAAATTAGCTCCGATTTCGGGCGCGCGCCAAAAGAATTTGGTCGCACTGTCCATCCAGCGCAGTCCCTTAAATTTGTCTTTATTATTATTTTTTTGTACAATCTACTATTTTACAGATTCTCCTAAAAATTGACATATAATGATTATGGCACATTCGTTTAATAGAATACATGTTTTAATCAGTTAATGAGCTTGTAATTAATTTAACTTTAATCTATGAATAAACAAATAAAAAAGCATGAGCAATGAATTATTTGAAATAAAAATTTACTTCTAGCTAGGTACTATAAACAAAAAAAATACAAAGTGCCGAAATTCAATTCAATTATATAAACAATTTTTAATTATACACCTGATTGAAGTAGTATGCGTGAATTAGCATACAACTGGTTAGTTAAATAATAGGGGTAATAAATTTGCTGTGCCAGGATTCAACCTCTGTGATGTTAATCCCCCACTTTTTGAATTTTATTATTATCCAGGTTGTTCTAGATTGTTCTACGTCCCAAAGTATTATTTAAAAAAACTAAAACTGTATTACAATTTCCATTTAACCAATTATTTATACTGAAATTACTTTATTTGTTTTATTAATATAATTACACTGAAAAAATGTTCCAAATAATATCTAAACATCTCGAACTAAATTACTAACTTATATTTAGCTAATATGTTAGCTAAAACAATGTATTGAATGAGATATGAGAAAACACACATTAAATCAACACTGCATTCCAAAAAAAAATACACAAATGCTCTAATATCATAATCGTGGACAGAAACAAACATACTAACTCAATACCTAAAATATTAAATTGTGTTATGTCTACGAAGAGATCATTATTTTAAAAGCAAATGATTAGCAAAAAACCAAAATCATTTCAGTCTTGAAATTTTATTACATATACTTGACTCAAGTAAGCTCAATCATATAATTAGTGTATCATAAAAAACGAACCATTTGATAATATATCCTAAATAAATTGATTATATTTAAATATCAACAATTTACTTTTATAAATTTTATTATTTTTTAAAGCATGTAACTGCTTGATGTTTAAATCTAAAGAAAATATAACTAGAAAAAATTCCACGCGGACCAGGCAGCAGACGGGACTCGAACCCGCACCCTTCGCAATCCGGGCGAATGCACTGACCAATTATGCTACCGCGGCCCTCACGGACCGCGTCGAAATTCTTCTAGCCATTCTTAAGCTGCAAGGCAGCGCCATCTCTTCGCATTATAGGTAACCCACAATGTCAAATGAATACTTTTACAAGTATTAAACATTTGAAAGAAGAAATAGCAATTATAGTTATAAATTTTATTATTTTTTAAAGCATGTAACTGCTTGATGTTTAAATCTAAAGAAAATATAACTAGAAAAAATTCCACGCGGACCAGGCAGCAGACGGGACTCGAACCCGCACCCTTCGCAATCCGGGCGAATGCACTGACCAATTATGCTACCGCGGCCCTCACGGACCGCGTCGAAATTCTTCTAGCCATTCTTAAGCTGCAAGGCAGCGCCATCTCTTCGCATTATAGGTAACCCACAATGTCAAATGAATACTTTTATATAAAAACTAGCTGACCCAGCGAACTTCGTACCGCCATAAAAAAATTTAATTAAAAAAACATTGTCCAGCGGACAAAATTGTGAATCTAAACCATTCTCAGATCCCCTTGAACACACACAAAAAATTTCTACAAAATCGGTCCAGTCGTTTAAGAGAAGTTCAGTGACATACACACTCACAGAAGAATTATATATATATAAAGATAAATTTATATCAGTAGAACTAATATCTTCAATTTGCGAATCCCACTAAATAAAACTTAGTTCTTGGCTAGTCAATTATCTTTACATCTAGTATTTCAGGCATTTTTAGGGTTCCGCTTATATATGGAAAAAACGGAACCCTTAAAGGGTCACCTTGTTGCCGTGTCAAGACCCCTTTATCTCAGAAACGCGTAAAGAGATGTCTAGTTGAATTTTAAACCATAAACTCAGGTCTACAGTAAGTTTAAGCTGTGAAAAATACTTAATTAAACTTCTTAATTAACGGGTAAAAAACGTACAACCGTTTATGTTGCGTTCCTACAAAAATCAATGGAACCCTCGGAAGCGAATCCGTCATTTTTACATTGTCTTAATTTTGCTTATGTATATTAAACATTATACATAGGCAAAATTTTAAACCACAAAGATTGCCCCATTTGCATACATCCTTTATATTATATTCATACAGACCTTGGACCATGATCGGGTCAATAAGTTTGGCATTTGTAGAGTGGCCTTAGCTTAAGTATTGTGTCCAGAAGAAATATCTTTGAGATCTTTTTATGTCCTGCATATACTATCAATAGTGGCACTTATCAATGGCTACCTATCTAGATAATATCAGAAGGTAACACCAGCTAACCAGTCTCCTTAATCTTTATAAATGCATTTTTTTTATAATTAATATTACTATCATATTGGACTAAAACAGGGTTCCCCAAATTCCACAACATCTAGCATTCTAGTGCAACACGATTTTCCATTGGCTGGTCCTTTTCTTAATGGTGTACCAAAGGTGCGTTTCATACCTTTAGCTACTAAATCTCGACTCTGAAATAAAGAAATGTCATATCAGACATTAATCATTCACACAAATAATTGATGTTTGTATACTGTACATGAATTTGATGATTTAATGTTAATATAGGTAATCATTTAACACGCGCCAATAATGAAAAGCGCTCGTTCTTCCTGTTAGGAATAACGCACACAACTCCTGTCAGAATGATAGCAGAATAGACTTAACAAAAGGTAATCTACATACAGGTGGTTTTCCAATTACAGAGCATAATGCGACTCAGTGGCGCACAATGCCGAATTATGCTGATGCTTAATTGGAACGTGAATTAGTTTTCAAATGCACCAGCAGAGTGCGCTAAGTTCAGTGTTGAAAAAAAAATTCAATGTTCATTCATCATCATTCATCCATATTTATATTTAATTTTTAACACAGTTTGAATTAACTTTGATTATTTAAAAAAAACTATGATGAAACGAAAGTTTTAATAATTTTTCAACAATAAATAATATTACTAACGATAACATATAAATAAAACATTTCGATCAATGCCAACTTAAAGAAAAAACACTTTTTAATTTACTGTCTCTGAGTTGGTACGATTGCACACATCACACGAAAGCATTACTTTTGAGAGTGCTCAATTGTGCGAAGCGTTGCTGTAGTTGGAACACTAACCTTAAGCATTATGCCGCATAATGCGCTATAATGCTGTAACAGTGTTACCAACCCTTACCAAAATTTTACCCTAAGTATTTTTTAAATTCCCATAAAATCCCCTAAATATAGAAATTTATATGTACCTACTTTTCTTATTACCTAAATTCTTTCGTTGCTCATAAATTAACACGTTACATATTTAGTTACAGTAAATTATTTTATTGAATAAATTTTCCGAATGGAAAATAAACGAAAATGAGCTAACAGGCTGTTAAATCTATTTGGCTGTTTTGATTGGTGGAAGGCAATGAACTTTAGTCCATACAGCCTTAGAAAACAACCTGCCACACAGTGAGTTCAGTCGTTTCTTATCGTGAATTATCGTGGTGCGTTCCATTATGCGTATTTTAATTAATAGCAAATAATAATGCCTGACGGGGCTCGTGTAGCCCAATGGATCGCTGGCCTCGCGTTCACGTTGGCGGCGGTCTGTACAAAAGCTGTACGCGTATCCAATGTACGCATGGACAGCGAGCTGCGACTACGCGTAGTTAAGGATGACGCTATCCTTAAGCTTAAGGGTACTATTGACACCCCACTCTTAAAAGGAAGGATACATACATTCGAGTGTTATAGGGTAAAAAATAGAATTATATCAAACTGGCGATTCGCCCCTGCTATCGGGATTGATAGGCTGTAGGCTCCAGCTGTGCACGGTTGAACTTTATGTTAACATGAGAAATTATTACTTATGTTACTAATTGATAATGTAACATTCTAAAACAGTAAAAGAATATTTGAAATTGATACTCAACTTTTTGTATTTAGTTTTTACAAACGCAATCTTTCCTCATTATAATACTAGTGTAGGTACCTGTTAATACAAAAATGACTTACCAAATCTGGACTAAATACTACAGGTGTATGAGCTTCATAACGAGAAGGCGGACGGGGATCACTGTCTGCATGAAGTTCATCATCAGTTTGTTCAGAGTCATAAGCAGGACGGACCTCTGTATCTATGTGTAATTCATCATCAGTCGGCTCTGAATCATAATGGTCTATATCACTATGTTCTTCAAAGAATAATTTTCGCCTTAAAGACCCATTGGCAGTCATTTCATAGTCACCTGATATATTTTGATCCTAGAAAATATACAGTGACTAATATAACATTTAACAGAACCTACAAAAACATACCCATTAAAACAAGTACAGAAACTATTTCTTTTTTTCCTGTATGTGTGTATAATAGAACTCTGTATAGAATTGCAGATATAAATTCGTTTTCATATATTCACAACTCACCTCTTCATATGTGCAAAAAGGTTGTAGTAGCTTTTCTATCTCTGGAGGTAGCTCAGGAGGTAAAGTGAGGACAGTTTGCGCTGAAACTATATGAATATTTAATTAAGTTTAGTCATATTTATCTAAACAAGAGAATGCTAGTCATATGAACTGACATTCCACTGGTGCAGTGGCAACACTCCTGCCTTATGTCCAAAGGTCCTGGGTTCAAATCCCTGTAGAGACATTTATTTGTTTAGCACAAATATTTGTTGCAGTTTTTTTTGCCTTAACAAAAAACCGTCGAGCCTTAAAGCATTGTATTCTCTTTGCCTACACCCCACCTGCGACACTGTGCAGATAGATAGACATTATAGAATTATATTTTGTAACAATAATTTCTGTTCCTGTCATTAGAGTTGCAGTGCTTACTTGTTGTTCAAAATCAACTGTTTATTAATTGCTTACTTACACCTATGTATTTGGTGATAGCAAATTTCAAAGCAAGTAAAACTGTGTTAAAGAAAAGTAGCGCCATAAAAATAAAAACATATTCATAAAATAATATTTTCTAAATATGCTCCTATTAAGAAGGTCCATAGTGCATTTATCTACAAATTAGATGTTGCTTAAGCGGAAATTACTCAGCCCACCATACATTTTTCGCAAGCAAACATCAATTCATATACCAAATAGTCGGTCATAAGCACCATTGGTTTAAAAAACACCAAAAGGACATCGGTCAAATCCATACATCGTTTTATTTCAAATTAAATTGTTGCGTCTTTTTACAAATGATATATCACTACATTCTGCGTAATTTATTAAGCTTATATATAAGAATTACGACAAAAGAAAGCTGAGGAAAAAATATATTTTGCTCTGAACATTTATTGGTTATGTTATTTTGACATGTTTATTACGTATCTGTATTACATTTTTTCATTACAGAAATCGATTTTTTGCACAAAAATCATAACAATTATACCAATATTCACAGATAAATTCAAATTGTAGTAAAAGCCATTTGATATTACTACCCAGCCATCCTACCATTCAGTATGGTCGCTCTACAAATATCCGGCTAGTTAGCCTACTACCATAGTGCAAGAGAGATATTTTCCCGTAAAATAGTAATCATAATGCATTACTTGCCGACGACGACCTCCGTGGCCGAGTGGTTTGTACGCCGGGTTTCATGGTGTTGCCGACTCGAGAATCCCGGTGGGGGCAGATGTTTGTGTGATGAATACGAGCATTTGTACTTATATATGTACAGTATATGTATTCTATCCGTTACCCTAGCATCCCATAACACAAGCCTTACAGTGCATACTTTGGGGCTAGGCTAATTGGTGTAGCGTTCGCAGGCCATCGCTGGACAGTAGTAGTACAGTGGGGCATCCCAAAATGTTTTAAAAGTAAATTCCCATCCGTGCAAACCCGGGAGGGAATAAACTTTTTATTATTAAATGTAGGTATTCTATTATCGATCAACAAATACAAGTTAATGCATTTGCTGCTTTAAACCAATAAGCGCGGACCTATGACTGGGAACAACCAATAACATACGCGCTTAGTCAAAAGCTTTTTTTTTGTAATCGAGCCTTGCTTATTTGTGTTTAAAAAAACAGGTCTATTGTGACGTAGCAATGAAACCAATAATCACTTAATTGAAATGCATGGTATTTGACAGTTACACTCGAAAATCATGCCTGAGGTTATGACAAAAATTCCATATATTTTCTGTTTAATGATTGCTATAGCTTTTGTTCAAAGGTATCTTATCTAGGGGCTCAGGGTCGTTAAGTGACTAAAATAAAAAAAAACAAGATTATTACGATTCAGTTGACATTGACAGGTGGAATAATATATATACAAAATAAATGGCAACAACAACAGCCTTTAGTCTGTTCTTTCTAACTTGTCCTATTTGGTAAACAATCTTGGCACAACTTTTTAGCAAAATCACCAACGAAGTCAATAATCTATTACAATAAATCATTATTATAGACAAAAACCTATTGAATCTAGTTATAAGTTGATTTTTAGGACTGTTTTTTCAAAAAAGGAGTGCCAAGATTGTTTACCAAATAGGACAAGTTAGGATGAATATCAATGCAGTGTTTTATTAAATTTTTATTTTACTCAGCTTTTAATTGTATCAATTACAACTTATAAAATCTGTTTATATATAATTAATAATATTAGTAAATATTCTAGACGTTCAACTTTGATCCAAATATGATTTGGCCAATGTCCTTTATGTCGCTTCAGCATTGTGAACAATAAAAATCTTCACAAATTTAGTTGTTTAAGCTCATGCAAAGTACTCAAAGCTTCAATTTCTAGCATAATTTTTTATTTTAAACTCACCATCTCTACGAACAACATCTTTACTGCAACTAGCTGACTTAATACTAGTATCACCTGAAGTTTGAAGTAATGGCTTCATTTTCTTAGAAGATTCAAGTGGACTGGCAACCACAATTTCCTCAGAAAAAAACCTGCAATAATATTTAAGATAATCTCTTAGAATTTATATAAATATTCTGGAATGGAATATCTCATAAATTAACAGTTTTAGAGCTGCTGAATTATTTAGTTAAATTTTCATTTCAATTGGGAAGATGACAAAAGAACACATTGTTTTCTTGGGTTCATCTATGCTCTGTTCTCAAGAGAGAGACACATTCTTTATCAACAAATGCACACAGAAGACAAGGTTGATAATCTGGGACTATCAAATGTATATACTCTAGCCATACACACAAGCTAGAGTTTACGAAAACGAAGTCTGTACTAGCTCAAAAAATGTGACAAGGAAACAGTAAATTCTAATAAATGTTATAATAATTTATTACTCATAATTTCTTGATTTTCTTTCCTATCTAGACATAAATAACATATCAATGCCATTAATTACGTACTCATTATTATTATCACAGGGAGTGTATTTTTATATGTGAATAAATACCTTTCAGTGACTTCTTCCGCAACTTTCTCGAGGGCAGGGTCTGGTGATGGCTCAAATTGACTACTGCATGCCACAATATCCGCTGGTATCAAAGTGCAAGCTTGGTCAATATCCCAACGAAAAGACCCACTGTGCTTCTTTTTATAAATTTTACACATTCCCGGACTACAAAATTAATGTATGTTCAGTAATACGAAAATATACCACGTAAATTTCATAATCGTAATAATGAAAAATCTTTACCTGCATATTGGTTTGTTTAGCCTTTCTATCAAAGCTCTATCAAAAGGATTACGAACTTTTTTGTATGTTGGAGGAGTTGATTCACAATTATTCGAACCATCATTTTTATCACACATTTCGAAAATAACGAAACTCTTGTTTTTGTAATGTCAACTTGTCAAGTCTAGCTTGCTACATAATAGTGATCTGTGGTCAAGTCCAACCAATCCTTAAAGCGCCTACTGACATGCCTGCCGCAGGGACAATCTAGGGTGTAATACCTCGTTTAGACTATGCCCATGCCGCTGCCCCTCGCGTTGCCGGCAATAATTCCCTAAATATACAGTTTGTCTATAAAGTCGTGACATTAAATGATGGCGCCACTAGTATGCATGTAGCAACCCTATACAGTCAGACCAAAATGATTTTGATACAAGCAGTTCATTCAAGTAAGATGGGTAATTAATAAGACACACTATACAGTCGTATTTTGTTTCTGTTTTATATATAGTAGGTACCTATGCTATTATAAAAAGTTTAGCCAAGCATAATAAATTGAATCAGAATAAAATTATTATAGATAAAATAGTACTTCATAGTGTAAAAGTGTGTACAGTTTGTCTATAAAGTCGTGACATGAATGTTTGAGGAACTAACATTATTCATGTGTCTGGCAACACCAAACTTATGTACATCAGCTGTCATCAAGTTTCAGTTGTGGAACAGTTTTCCTTTTGTATTTTTTATTGTTTGGATTAAACTGTAATAAATTAAAACGAAACTACACAGAAAGGTATAAAAATGAGTAAAGTAAATCGGAGTGGCATGTGGGAAGTGATTTTTAAAGTTTTCCAGCGATGTTTCGAAGACTACCAAGCTGGACGAATTTTGTGGGATTTGGATGATGTTCATGGGCGAACAGCATCTATGACGGGTGTGTAATCGGGTAACTATTTGTTTGTAATCAGCCTGAAGTTACCAATTTACAGTTTGTCTATAAAGTCGTGACATGAATGTTTAAGGAACTAACATTATTCATGTGTCTGGCAACACCAAACTTATGTACATCAGCTGTCATCGAGTTTCAGTTGTGGAACAGTTTTCCTTTTGTATTTTTTATTGTTTGAATTAAACTGTAATAAATTAAGACGAAACTACGCAGAAAGAAATAAAAATGAGTAAAGTAAATCGGAGTGGCACGCGGGAAGTGACTTTTAAAATTTTCCAGCGATGTTTCGAAGACTACCAAGCTGGACGAATTTTGTGGGATTTGGATGATGTTTATGGGCGAACAGCATCTATGACGGGTATGTAATCGTGTAACTATTTGTTTGTAATCTGCCTGAAGTTACAAATTTACTCAATTTACGATTTTGAGACCAAAAAAGGCATTGTTTACATTGCACATTTTTAGGTTAGATTGATATTGGTATCGATTCTGACATGATTATCTAAATTTAAAAATAAATTTAACATCAGTCTCTCGTTTTCATTCTGTATAGAGAATGACAAGGATGCACTGTTGTCAAATTTTAGTTTAGGTTTACAGAATCGTGCCAGAATCGACACCATTGTGTATAGGTAATATTGTAGTACGACCATTTCTTTTGATATGTTATTAAGGTTCAACTCGGTCAGGTTTCCTACCAATTTTGAATTAATTGCTTCATGTCAATAAGTTATTGTTTCTATTCCGTTACATATTTTTTTACTTTTTTTCAGGAAAATCAGAGAGTCGGATAGTCAACGAAGGTTTTAAGAATGATGGAAAGTTTGTAACTCCTGGGAAAACAGGCAAGGCCGACCAAAGAAGGAAATGGTCACATAAAAAACCATGGCCAGATGCTTTTAGTGAAGATACCTATCACCAATTTTACTAACTGCACATTTACAAATTGTTTTCTAAATAAACTTTTTATATACTATAAAATGATTTTTAGTATTATTTTCTTAACAAGTGTGTTAAAAAACGACGTATGATGATACTTGTGTGTATTGATGATTACCTAACGGCTCTGGTCTCAATGGCACCTCAGCGGTAATCACCAGTTCACCAACATTACAGTTTGTCTATAAAGTCGTGACATTAAATGATGGCGCCACTAGTATCATGTAGCAACCCTGTACAGTCGGACCAAAATGATTTTGATACTAGCTTTACTTTAGTAGCCGCTTCTAGCTTCTCGTGGCGGCGTTTGTGGCTGTAGCGTGTGGCCCGTGTGTGGCGATACTAGATGTCAGTAAAACTATAAATTTATCGCTGTTAGAAGATAGCTAAAAATTTCGTTTTATTATTTGGAAAATTTTTGAGATTTTTCAATTTGACCTTAGATAGGGGGGGGGGGGTCATGTCCCCTGTGACGATACGATATCCGGTCAAGTGGACGAGAGAACTTTAATGTAGCGTTGACTGCCTCATAGAAGCTTATCGAAAAAGCCAACTCGATACATTCTGTGCCAAACCCTAGACACACCAAAAACTAGGATGCATCACACCGACGACATTCTAATGTGAAAAAGTTAATATTTATAACAAAAGACTAGGCTGTATGGGCATTGATCCTTTGCCTTCCATTAAAAGGGAGAATCTAAAAAAAACAAAAAATTGACATTGACAGTCCAATTTTTGCGGGATATTTATTGCAAGAATGAGAAAAAGATAAATATAAGATTTTTCAGGAATTTTTAGAAAAAAACATCTCGTGAAGATTTGCTTTGGATGCGATCTTTCTCTACTATTTTACTTAAAGTAGATGTGTGAACTGTATGTAATAATAAAGTAGAGTACCGATTTCTGTGCACTTGAGCAGGTTTAAAACAAAAACTTCTGCAAAAACATCTAGGATGGAGAAATTTGAAACTAGTTGCGAACCCATGGATGTTGATATAAGTTCAAATTCAATGGATACATCCCACAATGAAGCATTGGTTCCAAATAGTTCAATAACTCAAAAGCTAAAAGAAGTTCCTGCCGGTCCAATTGAAACATGGCATTTGAAGACGTTCCACATCAAAATGAAGACAGATAAAAAGAAAAGTATTCTGTTCAAAGGATTTTTAACACTTTTCGTTTTATGTGCATCTGTAATAGTATATTTAATATTGGATCTGAGATGTATTGAAGAAATTAACTTGATAGAACTGAAAGCTGTACTTAAAAACAGAGTATATGATCAAACAAAAGCGATAGATGGATTTGTGGATGCTTTGGATCTGCCTCGGGACAGTAAAATAATTTTTCTGTATGGTCCCACTGGGGTTGGAAAAACCTACACCATATCTTTATTATTAGAAAATATCTGGAACTCTTCAAATATATATCATTATACTATGCCTAGTTTCATGGACATGTTTTCAATAGAACATATGTATGGGATGAATGTGTGCAAATCTTCTACTGTTATTGTTGATGACCTGAAAAGATCAGATTTACTAACAGTTAAGAAGTTCATATTAGAAATTATTAAAAAAAGTGAAGATTTGAAAAAGAAACTCACAATTATTCTAATAGTAAACTGTGATGTTGTCACTAAAGATTTTTTAAAGAGCTGTGATGAGCAATTTTATAGAGAGTTAATACAGAGTTTTGATAATGTAAATGTTATGAAAAAGTTTATTAAATATGAATTACTTACACAAAAGTCTCTGGAAAAGTGCATTGATGATGTACTTGCAGGTCAGAGGATAAGTAATAATGTACATAATGATTTATTAAATAACTTTGATGTTACCCTTGATGGTTGTAAAAGTGTCTACAAGAAAGTGAAATTTTTACAAAAATTATGAGGTAAACTTTTTGAACATTTGTAATTTTTGCATAATTTGTAGTGTTTGATTATTTATTAGTTTATGTAGTATAATGCATTTATTAGAAATAGTGTTGAATTATATTTGACAATAAAGTTAATTAAAATTGTTTTATAGATCAAAAGAACTTTATTTTAGAGAATGTTACATGATAATCGGCAATGCAGAGGTTTCAGAAATTATGTTGAATACAAATATATTTATTGACAATTCTTTAATACATCTACACTTTCACATATTTTGGAAATTATTCTACAGCAAACTTAGCAATTAACTTAACAAAGAGCAAATAAATACTAAATAAACTGTGGTTATCTATTAAAATTTACAAAATAATCTCAACCACATTGCTAGCAAGGGTGCAACAGTAATAAATTTTTACTAAAGACACTGGTTGCATTCTCTCAATACAATAACCTTACAAGCACTTTATTTCAATATGATTAGACAAACCAAACAAAATCCTCGCGATATAATTATGTTTATATTTTTGTTCAGTGGTCAATATTTTCTTTGTACATTAATCTGCAACAATATGCTAGACCAGAAAATGTAGAGAAAGAAATAATTGTATGTCAAACTTTAAATGCTAAAAATATCTTTAAAATATATTCCCATTATATTGCATCTCGCCCATGTAATTTATGTAAACGCTGTGAAACTATTTACTTTACACAATGTGTTACTCTTGAGCAGTTTTGTGAATAGCAGAAGTACATAGTAAATTTATTAGTAAGTACCAATGTGAATTCAAATGGTAATCAGGAGTAAAAATTTGTAAGTACAAAATAATAAGTTTATCATAACATAATCTATTTTGTCTAGGTTAATAATTAAAAGAAGCCGATAGGAAAAGTATGAAAAATATTTTTATGCTCCCCTGATAAATGTAAGCCGGTGAGATAAATGCATGCTAACAGTTAAAAGTGCATTATTAACAACTTGCAGAGAGCTATAAAAAATTTAATTAAATTTTAGGTCTATTGAAGTTTGTATTCATATTTAGTTTTCTTTGAATACTGTTGAAGGAAGACAATAAACAATTAACTTAAAAAAAGGTTTTTGGTAATTTGGTTGTTTTCTGGAAGTTCATGATTTTTGTGCAGCTTTTCAAAAGAGATAAATGGCTATGATTTTATCATCATTAACCCATAGGCAAAGCCATTTATCATCAAATTATTAAGATAGTAACATAACATTAACTTTAAAGTGATTTTTGTAGTATCAAGGTAGATCAAAGATATTGAAATTTAGGACGAAATTTAACAAAAAATTATGTTTTAAGAATTTATTTAAGTTTTCATAGCCATTTGGATGCTTATCTCTTAATAATACATTTCTTTAATAATTATTCACACAAGATATTAATTATGTTGTGTGTAAGTACTGCAATTGGAAAATAACACTCATGGGTTTAAAATACCCTCATCAATCCGAGGCAACTTTGTAGCTTAGCCTATGGGTATAATTTAAGAAATACATATAAGAACATTTTAACAAGATTTTATTAATAATTAGGGATAATTTTTTATATAACTACTCAATAAAAATGGTTTTAATGATTTAAATGTCAATGATAATATTGATAATTCAACATTGGTAGTTATGTATTAATATTAAGCAAATATTTTCATTTTAATTTTCAATATTCAAGAAATTCTTTTTACCAACTCGTATCTTGATCATGGGTCTTATTCTGAGAGATAAAATAGTAGATTCGTTATGAGAGGTATGGCACGGCGTGTTTTCCACTCGAATAGGAGCGTCTGTCTGGGAAGTAACCTTCACCAAACAGAAGACTGCAACTAAATAACACCATTCTTTAGTGTTTTATTTTCAGAGCTCCATGGGGGAGAGAGGGGTCACGGTACGTACGTGACTTGTCACGTGATGTGAGTGATATTCTCTGGTATTGTGAGGTTTAGCCTATTGTGGTGAATGAGGTAAACCATAATAAAAGCTTGGTTGCCAGTCTTTACCAAACAAAAAAATGGTAGTTTAAAAATTAAAAATGGTAATTACAGTGCACTGCACGTACAGGCATTAACAGTGTCATAAGCTTTATTTCAGGTGAAGTTCCGAAGCGTTCAATGTAGTGCTAGGGAATTGGTAAAATAAGTTTTTATCCACCCGAGCTTAAACATAACATTAAACAATACACCTACGCATGTTTATATATAATAAACGGTTAATTTTTCGCATACATTGCTGACGTTGGCATTTTCCTTAACTGACGCTAATTAATATTTTAATTAAATTTACAATCAGCTTAAGACTGATATGCATAAAAAAAACACTGAATACGAATTATACAGCTACATAAGTATTTTTATTTTACGGTATCATGTTAATGGTAGAGAAACATTGCAAGTTTAGAAATATAAAATAGGTAGGTATTATGCCTAACGAGTAGGTAAATGATTTGTAACAAGCTTCGACCATTCGTTTTAAAGACATCGAGGTATACGTCAGTAGTTTGATTTTCAAATAGATAAACTTTTAAGTATCAGTTTAATATTCATAAAATGCGGAAGAAAGTTACTAGTTTTTTTAGAGAAAACTTTGTAGCTTTAAAAAAAGTTAACTACTGTTTTAACTGGTATATTTACGGTGACACGTGGACGAATAAGTTTATATTTCTAGAAATACAATTTTTCCAAATTTACTTTCAAGTTATGAAATTATTTTCGTAAAGGTAGGTAAGTACTTAGTGTTTTATTAACCAGGGTTGTATAATATCCAGAAGAACATTTGGTATTTACGTTAAATAAATTATTCAAGGGGTCATCCATAAATTACGTCACACGAATTTTATGATTTTTTGCCCCTCCCCCCGTCCTTGTCACAGCTGGTCACATTTGTGAGACACTCTCCTTCCTTAGTGTGACGTCACATATTATGCAAATTTACATTTAGAAATTATTGAATGAAAACAGCGGTTCTGAAATCAGTTTTATTTCCATTTAAATTGTTTTTTTAATAATATTAACATCAAATCAAACAAATAACAAAACAAAAAAACGTTCTCGTTTGGGTTATTAATGTTTTCATAAAGTAATAGTTTCAACACTTAGATTACAATAGATTTTGAAATGTGACGTCACGAAATTTAGGACCCCTCCCACCCCTTTGTCACACGATGTCACACTGCGACGACCCCCTCCCTCCCCCTTAACGTGTGACGTAATTTATGGATGGCCCCATATAATAAATTTAAATAACAACATTAATATTATTTAAGTGTTTGAGAGTTATGCTAAATAATGTAATAATCCAGTAAATAAACACGTTACGTAACGAAGACAACTAATACAACAAGTTTCATATATAAGTAAATGTGTATATTCAAGAAAAACAATAATCTGGAGAAAGATATAATAGGTAATGAAGACGACACTTTTAAACATGCAATGTGCAATTCAATATCTATGTACATAATGTAAGTTACTATTTATGTATGTATATCTTCAAAATTAATTTAAAAACGTTGATTAAATACTAAATATGCGTAACAATAAAGACTAGAATACATTTTTAGGTTTACAGTTATTGGCACTAAATTCGATATAATGGCACAACTATGTATGTACTCTGGATACAGTGAAATTATCACTTAATATTTTTCTAATTAAGCAATGCAATTTTATTAATTACAATTCCAACTCCCCTGATATTTGTTAAAGTAAGTTTTGCTAACTATGCTAAAATATGTTACAAAATTGTAAAAAACATGGGTAAATGTCATTATTTATTATATATCTAAGTATATTTCTAGGAAATACTGAATTACTAGACTGCAGACTTACAGATAGAGATTTCAATAGTTTTATAAAGCACATTTCAAAAGTGAAACTGTGCAAAAAATACTTCACATTATACATTAATATCACCGTTGACAAAGCTCCTCATAAAGATTTACTTTTATTAGATCAAAGAACCATGAAACAGACCATTCTCTTGCACAGTTATCACTTTAAAATTTTAATAGCTATGTATTTTCACAATTATTTTTATTTGATCTTTCTAGTCAGGTACAAAACCAAGATCGCAACCCAAGATCAATGTTCACAATACTGGATACTTAGGTAATTTAAATACAGTAACTATGCTATCTAAGTGCCTTCATTTAGAAGCGTAGTATGCCTACGCCTAACATGGACAAACCTAAAAGTAATTAAGTAAGTATGACTTTAGGTCGAGCCGATTGGTTAAATATAATTTATCAATGAATAATAATATAGATAAGTTTGAATAAGTAATAAAATATAGTTTACTTATAACTTTTTTAAAAGCAAATAGCTGAATAATAGTTACAACATTTTAAAATCTAAAATTGACGAAATTGATATAAACCACTTAAAATGTATAAAGTTACATTCAGCGCACTAACTATTTAAGTAGTCCTAGTTGAAGAAAATTCTAACTCAATCTAAAAGTACATACATAAAAAGGTAATCTCACCACTCAAGAATTCATCTCACTGTCAGATTTATAGTGCCAATAACTGCTTGATTTATTATTTACTTAAACCTTACTAGCTAAGTATTTTGATAACAAATAGAACACCATTTTTAAGCACGACAAAACATTCATAGTTAAAAATGTAGAGAGACTTACTGAGAAATGTGCTAATAATTCTAAACCTTGAAATTTTGCTGATTTTACTCTTAAATGTATATATTCAAAGTATCAGATCTGAGATTATTGAGATTTCACTTTGATCAGCAACAATTTGTCGCGATATTCGTTGACAATATTCGATTGTGGCCGTGGTGTGGTAACGTACACTACTTTAACTAGCACAAAGCAATGGATATTTTGATTGTATCACATTTTAGCCACATTGTTTATTTTTTATTTCAAAACGAGAATATTAAGTAGAAGTACTTAGATTGGTGTAGGTAGTAGATAACATTTCATTATATGTAATAACTTAACTCCTTGGGATTATAAAGAATTTCTAATAAAATTCGTGTACTTTTCATAGCTGAACTGGATATAAGTTTTCATTCACTGCCAAAGGATATACTTTATGTGGTCTCTTTCATTCAAGGCTTTAAAATGACATGACATCCTCGTTGATGTCGCCATTGCATATAACATCTTCTATGAGACCTTCTTTCCTACCCATTGGCGCTAAGGATTGGAGTAAGGGGCCTAGTTAGGAGCGATGGAAATGTATTGCTGTCCACTTGTTGTGGCGTTTGTGCCAAATACGAGTCTCTTGTGACTGGTGGGTGGCTCGTCGACCCTCAGCATCTACACTCTGTGTCACGCATACATATGCTATAACTGCAACATCCTCTCCGAGTAAATGGACTCTAGGATTTAAAATGGTTGTGTTAGTCTTAACATGGGCCGGAGTGTTGTCAATGAAGAATTTATGGAATTCAACACCTTCTACTAGATTTCCCAACGCATCCGGATCGAATGCAGTCACATTAGGATCACATAATTTGGAATAAGTATCGTAATCACCGTTGTTAATAGCGTCGATCAGTACTTCCGTAATCTTGATGACTTCTGCTCGACGTAATGATGCATTACTATCGCCACGCGCTTTTCCAAAAGAGTCTGCTTTTGATAAGGCTTCATCGTCGTGTTCCTTAGAGATCACAGTGCAAGCTCTGTCCACGCCCTTCTTATCTTTATCTAAGTCATCATCCTCCAAAGTGGTACTGCTATCAGTCGATTCCTTTACCTGCGATCCATCACCTTTTTTGTTGACCATTGATTTTCCAGAAAAGTTCCGGGTTGCAAGCATTGTCGTTAAAATTGCACCCTTCAATTTACGACGTGCATTGAATTTCTTCAAGCAGTCTACTGTCTCTTGTCTGTGCATTACAGATGCTACACGTTCTCGGTGGCATATCCATGGGTGTTTCAATGCTTCGGAAGCTGTAATTCGTTTGCTAGGATTAACAGTTAGCATTTGATTAATTAGACTTTTTGCTTCAGGCGTAACGGTATCCCATTCAGGAGAGGGATAATCGTAAGCTCCGGCTTTAATCTGACCGTACAATCGGTGTTGATCCTCATCCCAAAATGGAGGGTATCCAACCAGTAAAATATATAATATGACACCGCACGCCCAAATATCTACTGGTTTGCCGTATGGCTCCTTCTTTAAAACTTCGGGTGATAAATAACCAGGAGTACCAGCGAAACCGAACCACGCCTGTTGGTCACCTTGCACTTCTATAGCCAAACCGAAATCTGCAAGTTTTACTGCCGCGCCTTTAGCTTTGCTAGCCAACAAAAGATTTTCTGGTTTCAAATCTCTGTGGACAACTCCATTATGGTGGCAGTGATGCACTGACTCCAAAATTTGCTGTATACAGTGAGACGCGTCTGCCTCAGAATAAAACTCACGTGCCACAATATCTTCAAATAATTCACCACCCGTTACCAAATCAAATACCAAATAATGAAAATGCTCTTCTTGAATAGAATCGTGTAATCTAACGATGTTAGGATGTTGGAGTTTACGGCAAATTCTCGCTTCTCTTTCCAATTTTTGAAAATCTCTGGCGGAGAGCTTTTTCGTATTGATGATTTTGGCAGCGAATTCATAACCGGTAGACTTTTGCACCGCTCGCCTCACTATAGAAAATGCACCTTTTCCTAATTCTTCTTTCAGATCATAATTATCGGAGAAACGAGTACTAACACTTTCACGATTTGGATTGGCCATAGTCGACAGAATATACTTACTAAGTCAGTTAATTAAGCAACTTACTGCGTTTAATTTGAGCACGATTTTCAATACTTGTAGACAACTGCAACAAAATGGAAAGTAATTTATATTATTTAGTTATTATTAAATTAACTACTAATACAATAATAAAATTATGTTAACTTCGCTTCGCTAGGTCATTAATCGTATAACGTATCATCATCAGCAGTCATTCATGCCCTTTGAGTGAAATCGGGAGATTTATTCTTATCATGTATACTTATAGTCATACGTTTTCAAACTAAGCCGCAGAAGAAATAATGATCAATTTTGATATAAAGGGGAACTTGGTAAAGAACGTAGGCTACTTTTCGTCACCAAATAATACATAAAGGGGGGTTAAGTAGGTGACGAGAATTTGTATGCAGAAATAAGAAGTATTATTTTATGCAGATAGGGTCGCGACCAGCCGTTAGTGTAAGTATATTTTCTTGAATTATTAATGAGTGCTATAAATTTATTATTAAACGTTATTCTTTCTATAAACCTAATCTAATAATTAACAGTATTTATTGAGACAGGAGATAATATGAAATGTGCAAAAAAGTAAGTAAGTATCGAACTTCATAATTTTTGATTTAAACGAAAAGCACAAAATTAATTTGAATCCTTCCTATTAATTTAATATTTAATAATTTGGCTAATTCATTAATTTGAACTAATGTATACTGGCTGTATATGTGAACGGCTCTTGCAGTACAGTTTATTGATTTCCGAGTAGAAAAAGTTTGTTATTTGGGTCATGTTTTTTCATAGCTATACTACTTTTATCCCCCTTCACGATATGTTCAGAAAATAGATATTGTCAAGGAGCGGACGAAATTCATCCCAATGTGAATCGTCGGCACTATTTTGGTCACTCACTCAATTCAAGTTCTGCATGCTCAATATAAAACGCGTAGATGCCTAGACAATAGTACCTAATCGTGGCCACAAACATAGACTTCTAATATTAACACTTCGGTACCGGGATGACATTTCGTTAGCGCAAAATAATCGATACACCATTGTCTCAACACATTCACCAAAATCCAGAGAACCTTGTAATTCACTCAAACGTAATGACGTTTTATTAAATCACACGTTTTATTTCTGTTGAACGTAATACACAAACATGCATTTAAAAATAACACTGATATTTAATTAAGTACCAACGAAATGATTGGCCGCGACATTTGACGATATTCTTAGCTGTAGCAACTAGACGCGATGTATTTATAATGAACGGAAATTTGTTCACTTTCAGACCAAAACTAGAACTTTGCCGTTTGTACAGCTATATGAAAATACTTATTTACCTATTATGTGCCCATTTTACACTGTATTCAGCGAGATGAAAATTAAAAACGAAGGGCCAGGCCCTACACCACACGATCCTTCTGCTCGGGACACGAGCTTCGGGGTCAAACTCATAGACATTTCTGTGTTGCCACAACGGCGTTCGCTCCTCTCGATTACAAATTATTTAAATAATTGTTTATTTTATTATAAATAAATGAATTCTGATGCATTTTGTGTCAATATAAGCAAATTTCATTGAAATATTTTAAAACAACTAGTATTCTTATTAATATTTTAAAGTTTCTCTGCTTTATTTTTTCATCGTGTCAATACTGGACGGCCTTCGTAAAATCGATACGCTAGCGTAGCGCTAAACCAGAGAGAAACTGCCTTACGATGATTGTGGAGCCATCTGTTGAACAAGAAAGGAAACAAATAATTAAGTTTGGAAAACTAACAAAGTTTTATAAACTTTCCTTTAAGTAATACCTAGATATAAGTAGGTACTTTGTATCTTTCTCTTCTGTGATGCTATCATGTGTAACTAAATTATTTGAAGAAGGGAACTGATTCTATGTTATTAAAAATCTTAACGTTATTATAATAAAATTAGATATGTATTGATTATATTTATATCGCAGAATGATTTGATTAATCGAGTTTTTTCGGAAATCTTAGGGATATTCGTAACTCAAATATAATTTTAGATAAAAAAAAATATCAAAAGCTTCTTTACTTCCCATTACTGATAGTGATTAGGCACATTTTTAAATGATCATCAATAAAACAGTGATTGCTCCTGAAAAAAAACAATTGGTAATCCAACCTAACATTTAGGTTAGGAATTGTATTTTCAGGTGACCATTTATTATTTCTTTGGGATCATTTATATAAATATTTTCCATTTTTTTATTATTATTGTTACTGTTTGGGTTGATGCTGCCTGCTTGAACCGAAAATCCGACGAGGACTTGAGACAGTTTTTATGAAGGGGTTTTTTTGTCGACCGTAGAATAACTATAAAACATACTTTTATGCCATAACATCCCATACGGTAGCGGTTGGCAAGTGAACAAAATGTACAGTGTGAGAGTTTACCTCAACAAGCCTTATTATCCTTTTAAGTCATTATCAGCCTATTAATGTCCCCACTGCTGGGGCACAGGCCTTCCCTATGGATGGAATGGGGAGATTAGGCGATGACCCACCACGCGGGCGCAGTGTGGATTGGCGGGTGCTAACGACTGCAGATTCATGTTGTTAGCGCGCTTGGTTGCAATCGTTGAAGTTAAGCAACGATTTCGCAGGGGTCGCACATTGGATGGGTGACCAAAATTTTACTATTTCAAGCTCCGAAAGGCGCGTTAAGCCTTTGGTCCTGGCTGCATCTGCAGTCACCTATACGCACTTGGCCCGCGTGGTGGGTTATGTCCAAAGGTAGGGATATTAGGCTCAGATCAGGACCCAGGTTTCATCCATAAAGAAGGCCTGTGCCCCAGCAGTGGAGACATTATAGGCCGATGATGATGATTATCACTTTGTAATGACTAATGATGAGAAACTACTCAGAACCCTACATAGTGCGACGCCCAACACGCACTCGGCTTGGTCCGTTTTTTAAACTGAATAAATTTATGAGTAACTGAGTCATGGTCTATTTTGTTTCAATTTGAAATCATATTGTAAACAAGCGGCCGCCCGCGACTTTAGTTAGAAATAAAGGTTCACTGCTCGTTCCCCGTAGGTGATAGCGTGATAATATGTAGCCTATAATTATGTTGACCCGACTTCTTAATAATATTCGTGCCAAATTTGAAATAAATCCATGCAGTACTTTTTGAGTTCATCCCGGACATACATACAGACAAACAGATAAAAATACTAAAAACTATATTTTTGGCTTCGGTATCGACTGTAGATCCCACCCCAAGTATTCTTACAATCTGTAAAATATGGGAACACTGCTGTGATCGTGTGGCGTGGCTCACATATTTATATTTCTCGACAAGTTTTGTAAGTGTTTTCTTTTTGAGATATTTAAAATGACAAAGGACAATGGGCAAAACGCACCCAGCTCCGCCACCAATGTAATTAGTATGAATCGATAGATCTATGAAAAACTAGCCTTTTTTATTATGGCACCAAAAAAAAATAACCTGGGGGTCAAAAAATATACACCTGGGTATGTTCTATATTAGGGGTTAAGGTTTCCTCACATAGTCCTTATAGACGACCTTTGTGTGTAAGTCATGGGGACCGGTTACACACGGGCATATTTAAATAGCTCCTTATAGAGAAGCTCGATGGCGCAGGTGGTTAGCGCGTTCCCGTGGCAGTTTGGCTGGGTCTGCTATCGGGCGCGTCCCCCCGGGTGGCGGATGGGGGGTACCGGCTTCGGCCGGCGTGGACCATACCCAGCTGTGGAGACCTGGCTGGCGTCCTGGGTATCCCGGGTAGCGGCAGTCGGGTCAAACTCGTAACCCTGCACATAGAGCGGGGCCGAGGGCCGCCGTCTACAAAGGAACTGTTTTCTTTGGAGGCGGGGGCTGCGAGGAAGACAACCTCTCTAAAAAATTACCCGGTGGTGGTCTCGGCTGGCGCCCTGGGTATCCCGGGTAGCGGCAGTCGAGTCAAGCTCGTAACCCTGCACATAGTGCGAGGCCGAGGGCCGCCGTCTGCAAAGGAACTGTTTCCTTTGGAGGCGGGGACTGCGAGGAAGACAACCTCTCTAAAAAATCACCCGAGGGGTCTCTCGGCCGGCACCCTGGGTAGCTCGGGTAGTGGTGGCCGAGACTCTGTTGGTTGGGGCGGAAACGCCATTTGGTGAGGGCGGTTGCGGCGCGAACTCCGCGTCGCCTCCGGCCAACCCGTAACCCCGCACGTGGTGTGGGGCCGGGGGCCGCCGTCCTTCGGGGCGGGGGCTGCAAGGAAGAAAACCTTTTCAAAAATTACCTTTTGATGAGGCCAGGTAGGGTTCCCTCGCCCGGAAGAGGGAAAAATTGATGAAAATGTCGTTCCATGTGTTGAGTATGTCATGCGCTCCCGTTGACGCCGGGCGCTCTGGGGTAGCTGGGCCCCAGGGTGAGAAGTTTGTTACTAGCGGCTTATGCGCTCCGGCTGGCCACCGGCGCTGCGGGATTACAGGGTCCCGCAGTGGTAAGTTGATTACCGAGGCGTTGGAAGGAGCTAAGACGGGCGTCCTGCGCCTTAGAGGCGGTGGGGACAAGGAGAATGGGGTGGGCTTAACACCAACGCCCCCCAAGGTGAACACTGCACGCAAGGGAAGTGGTAAGCGTAAAGCTTCCCCAGCTCCCTCTTCGGAGTCCGAACCTTTCTACAGGATTGACGAGGAGGAATGGGATAATCTTACGACGGATGAGATCAGGGACGCGATCACCCAGCGCGTGGAGTATGTGGGCGAAATGGTGGAAGAGCGGTTCTCGAGAGGCAAGAGCACCAAGAATACCCTGCAGTCGTCACGCGAGATTCTGGTGTTCATGGAGGTGGCCCTGCGGAAGATGGAGGCGGCGGGAAGATTAGCCAGGGTTGAGGAGGATAACCGCCGACTCCAACAGGAGAATGAAAGCATGAGGGCGGAGGTAGAGGCCATGAAAAAGGAGATGGGGTCGCTGAGAAGATTGGCGGAGGAGAGGGTGCGCCCTGCACCACCTCTAACCACGCAGCTGATGCCGATGGAGGCCGTCGAGGAGCTGAAACGCTCCCTTATGTTATCCATAGGGGAGATGCTCAGCACTCGGTTGGCCTCCTTGGAAGGGAGACTGACCCCGCCGGAGCGGATCAGACCGCCCCTAGCGGCGGACCGGCGGTGCACGGAGATGGAGCCGGCCGCAGCGGCGGAGAACTGGAGTGCTGTGGTTAGGAAGAAGACCAACAAAAAAGGTGTGGGCCCTGGGGTGGCCCCGGTGCCAGAGGTGGCGAGGGCGCAGGCGCCAGCGCAGAAAGCGCCAGAGCGGAAGAAGCCACTGCGACCGGAGCGCGGAAAGACGAAAATAAGGGTGCCAAACACCGCGGCTGTGACCCTGAGGCTAACTCCGGCCGCGAAGGAGGGAGGGGTCACCTATGCCAAGGTGTTGGAGATGGCCAGGGGGAAGATGAGGCTCCAGGATGTAGGCATTGAGGGAGGGCTCAAGATCCGAGAAAGCCGGATGGGGACCAAACTCCTGGTGGTCCCAGGTCCGGACAGCCCCACCAAAGCGGATGCCCTCGCGAAACGCATCAGCGAGGTGATGGCAGAGTTCGTGGAGGTTGGCAGGCCGGAGAGGGTGGCCGACCTGCGGATTGCCGGGCTCGACGAGTCCGTCACGACGGAGGAGCTGGTGCAGGCGGTGGTGGAAAAGGGGGGCTGCCAGGCCTGCAGGGTGGAGGTAGGGGAAATACACCCCGGACCGGGAGGCAACGGGTTTGCCAAAGTAAGGTGCCCTGTAGATGCTGCAAAAAAGGTGGCGGAGGGCGACAGACTGAAGGTGGGGTGGAGCCTTGTACGCGTGACGGTCCTGGGCCCCCCGCCTGCGCACTGCTTTAGGGGGCCACGTCGCCGATAGGTGCCCGTCAAGGGAGGACCGCAGTGGCCTGTGTTTCAGGTGCGGGAAGACGGGACACAGGGCAGCGACATGCGCCGCCCCGTCCCGATGCGCTGTGTGCGCGGACAGTGGTCGGCCTGCCGACCACGTCATGGGGAGCAGGAGCTGCGAACCTCCGGTTACCCGGGGCAAGCCTCCCGAGAAAGTGCCCTCTGAGGCGTCGGCGCCCGTACGGGCGCCCTCGGAGGGGGGGATGTCCGAGTAGCCCTGGCCGCTTGGACCCCCCCACGAATGCTGTCGCCCGCGATTCCCCCCCTTCTCGCAGGAGAAAGAGCGAGGAGAAGTGGCCGACCGGGAGGGGGGAGAGGGCCGGGGAGAACTATCCTCCCCCTCCCGCTCCCCCTCCCCCCTGGACGGCGCGCCCCCCCCTTGTAGTTCTGTCCTACAAAGGGGGGGCGGCGGAGGGAGCTACATGGGTGCGCCCGAGTAACCCTCCGCAGCGGACGGGGGGCGGTACAGTGGGCACTAGGCCGCGTATTCAGCCCCCACGCGCGGGCCATCCTGCGCACGTCTGCGGGGTCCCCGTAATACCTCGGGAGACCCCTGCCGTGGAGCCCCGGCGAGGCCGGGAAG